CTAAACTTTTACTGTGCTAAACTTACAGCTAGCTCCTTTAATGTCATTTTACAGTCACAGAGTCATAAAATGCTTTGGGTTGAAAGCTACCTTTAAAGGTAATTTAGTCAAAATCCCCCGCAGTAAGCAGGGACATCTCTACCTAGATGAGGTTGCTCAGAGCCCTGTCCAACCTCACCTTCAGTGTTTCCAGGGGTGGAGCATCTGCCACCTCTCGGGGCAAACAGTTCCAGTGTTTCACCACCCTCATGGTAAAAAATTCCTTCTTCAAATCTAGTCTAAATCTACCCTCTTTTAGTTTAAAACCATCACCCCTTTTCCTGTCACAAAAGACTCTGCTAAAAAGACTGTCCCCATCTTTCTCACAGGCCCCTGTTAAGTACTGAGAGGCCACTGTAAGGTCTCCCCAGAGCCCTCTCTATTCCAAGCTGAACAGCTCCAACTCTCTCAGCCTGTCTTCTTAGGAGAGGTGTTCCAGCACTCTGACCATTTTTGTGGCACTCCTCTGGATACGCTCAAACAGGTCTGTGTCCTTCTTGTGTGGAGGACACCAGAGCTGGAAACAGTACTCCAGGTGAGGTCTCACCAGAGTGGAGTAGAGGACCAGAATCACCTCCCTCAACCTGCTGGTCAAGCTTCTTTTGATGCCTCCCAGGATACAGTTGGCCTTCTGGGCTGCAAGCACACATTGCTGGCTCATGTCCAGCTTTTCATCCACCAGTACCTCCAAGTCCTTCTCTGCAGGGCTGCTCTCAATCCCATTGTCTCCAATCCTGTATTGATACCGAGGATTACCCCAACCCAGGCGCAAGACCTTGCATTTGGCCCTGTTGAACTTCATGGGGCTCACATCAGCCTACTTCTGGGGCTTGTCCAAGTCCCCCTGCATGGCATTCCATCCCTCTGGCACATCTACTGCATCACTCAGCTTTCTGTCATCTGCACACTCGCTGCACACTCAATTTCACTATGTCATCGATGAAGATATTGAACAGTGCTGGTCGCAGTACAGACCCCTGAGGGACATCATTTGTCACTGATCTCCATCCAGACACTGAGTTGTTGATCACGACTCTCTGGATGCAACCATCTAACCAATTCACCAAACAGTCTACTCATTAAATCCATATCCCTCCAAATTGCAGAGAAGGATGTTGTGGGGGACTGTGTCAAAGGCCTCACAGAAGTTCAGATGTCCTCTGGACATCTCCATAAGACTTCAAGTGTGCTGCAGTGTCACCAGCATGCCCCAGAGCAACTTGCTGAGGGCTCTCACTAGTACCCTGTCCCTCTAACCATGGTATGTGATCTCATGGCTTGTCACAGGCAATCCTGATATTACACCCACAACCTCACCCACACCCCTTTAAGTCTAGTTTAAAGCCCTGTCAACGAGCCTCACAAGCTCCTAAGCAAAGATCCTCTTCTTCCTTCAGGAAAGGTGAATCCCATCTGATGCCAGCATGCCTGGTGCCAAGTGGACCATCTGATTATCAAAAAAAAAAAAACCTCAAAACTTTGAAGGTGACAGTTATTTTCTGGTGTAACACAAGCAGAGAGCCAGATCGAATAAGTTTTATGTTGTGCTCAAGATATGGAAATGATGCACATGCTTTCTCGTTTGACTGACCTGATCCTTCTTTAATTTCATACATTTGCTTTGTTTGTGTATATCAGACTTTCACTGATTTTGTTCCTTATTTTGTTTGAAGAATGATCTCAGGCTTGTTCCTCTCTTAAAAGTCTAGAACTCTCTATGACACCAAGAGACACAGTCCCACTGAAGAAGCTGAGGTCCGAGGACTTGGATTTGGCAAAAATGAATGATGAATGTATTTCAAAGAAGTGTCACCTCTTACCTAGGTATTATTTTCTCATCTAAGAATTACTGGAATGCTTTGTAGAAGTACACCAGAAAATTTGATGCCATTACCACTGCTGGAAACATGCCCCTAAATGTCTGTTCATATACTACCAATGATGAAATAATTACTTCCTAAACCACAAGCCGTTTAAGTCAAAAAAAGAAACACCTTACCATCCAAATCCAGCTGCTAACAGGAACTATTTTCCTCCTTCAGTGAGATCACTTGTGTCCAGGATAACCTCTACAGATACCAGGAACAACCTGAATGAAAGCACATGGTCTCCTCCAAAAACGCAGACAAACTCAACAGGATGTTCTGATGAAAAGACAGGCTCCTGGGAGTGACCTTTGATCCGAGCCTTTTGTGGCCAGTAGGTAAGAAAAGAAGTACTGAAAACTCTACATATGAAGAGGGGAGGTATGAAGGTAGCACATAGCTGACAACACTGGTTTCTACCTACATCAGCACCTTTCTGAAGATCACTGACTGAAAATGATTACTACAAAATCAAGATGATTTTGAAAGGAAGTTTTTTCAAAGACCTGTTGTAGCCATCTAGAGTTACAGAAGGTGTCTGGATTACAGTCATTAAAACAACTTAAACCCTGACTGACATCTTTGAATTTTAATTCACATGACCATCAAAATAATGCTCTGCCTTCACCTGGTGAACCATTTGGCCTCTCTGATTGGTTCATTCATTACCTTTGGGCTCATTTACTGTGCTTTTATTATAATAAAGCTCATTTGCTGCCAGAATTGCATAGGCAAAAAATGCCACTGCATTAATTCCCAGTGCAAATAGAATGATTCTACAGAAAAATACAAATGCCACCCACTAAAAATGGAGCCTTAGAGGAAAAGGAAATCTCTGTTTTAAACCTATAGCTCTGGAACTTGACCACAGAATATTTTAAAGAACATTGAATTTTATCCTCTTCGGGGTAAAATAACACAGCTTACTTTTTTTTATCTGGTTACCCTAAAAATAATTGATGCTGGGAGAAATAGCTTTATGATATTTTTTTTTTTTTTTTTTTAATGTGGGAGACATTAAAGTAATAAATACAGTATAACATATTCAAGCAAGTATGGATGAGTAATTAATCCCTGCAGCTTTTGACCACTGATTTTGTTCAGTCACCCTTAGAAATGAGAAACCTGATATGGGAATGGAAAAATTGCTTTGCAAAAGTTTTTCTCTTGCTACTGATAACGTTATCTCTCATATTCTTTGACCAATAGAACATTTAGCTAAAGGAAGAGGTTAGAAGTCTCTTGCATACTGTGAAAAATAGGAAGAATATCACAATGTAAAAATGAGCAGGTAGGGAACATGCGTGACACCTGATAGAGGTGTCAGATATAAACTGTCTCTGTGCTATTTTTTAGCACAAACCTGCCTGTAGCACCGAGATTTTGGTTTTGTGACATGTTTGGAAGCTCAGTGTTTTATCATCCGGTCACATTAAATTATGACAATGGGAGATATACAGATTTATTTTTTAACAGCATTCAGCCTGCCCAGCAGTCGTTTAGCTGGAAATGCCAGTGCTTTGAGGCAGAACTTCCCGACATAGTTTGTACAGGCACTGTCATCACAAAAAGGGATGGCACTGCACCATGGCAGGATCAGCAGTGGCAGCAGCAGCAGCTTCTGGCTGTGAGCAAGGCTGCACATGCACTGCAGATGTGATCCTAGCCTGAGTATTTCTCCAAGTCCTCTGGTGGCCTTTGTACACAAAGTGGAGGGGTAAGAGATATTTGGTCATTGCCTATCTATCTCCTTTGGGATTGTTCTGAGATTGCTCCCACCATACACACCTTCCCCACAGGATGCCTGCCTTAGGACTGGAATCACACACTGATTTTTAAAGCTTCCCATTCACACATTTCAAAGCAAAGGCCAGTGAAAGCATCATTGCATGCTTGACATCTGCTCTTTTTCACATGAGGAAAAAGAGATACAGAAAAGTTAAGGCCAGCATCTTAAAAAAAATTAGCGCCTAAGTCTCACTGAGATCAATCTAAGCTACAAGCTGAGTCTAACAAGCTATGGACATTTGTTCTCAGGTGACTTACATGGAAACTCTGTCCCACTCATTCTGAGCTCTGTCTCACTTCATGAAGCCACACCTGTCCCTCCAGCACGTAGTGACTGTCACTCATGCAAACCCAGTGTACAGAAATGTGCTACATACTCTTTAGAACTTTTACTTTCAGCAGACTGTAACCTCCTTTAATGCTCAGAAACGTTTCCAGTTCTTAGAGAGAACCACTAGATGATTGCCAAGGACAGAGTCTCATAAGGTTTTGAAAAGCAGACTTTATTTAATAGGCACATCATTGCTTTAATAGCACTGGGCTGCACAGCTTACTTCACCATTTGTCAATGGTTTTATCTGATTACATTGCGTTTCCTCAGTGTCAGCAGGATTCAAGTAAAAAAGTTACTGCTTTTACTTCTCTCATTTCTCAAGATGGAAAAAACAAAACAGTAAACAACAGCACACAGGAGCGTAATACAGACAGAACTGCCTGTGACCCAACAGAAGTCAAGACAAGCCAAAATTTGAGCACTGAACAGTGAAAGCTGCAAGACAACCACACTACATTTGCTCAGATGGGATTGTGCATTATAAGGGATAAAGATGAACGCTGCCCACTAATGCAACAAGGGACTGGCTTTTTTATACTGAGAAACAAAGACTTTCCAACATAGACAAGGATGAGGGTTTCAAAACAAAACAGCTCACGTGAAATTAGCTTCCTTATCATTTCTGATTATAAAAACTGTACTCCCTCAGCTGTAAAAGTTAAAGGCCTAAAAGAAAAGTACTGCTTACAGAACTCCAAATCTGCAATTTAATCAGCTTTTCAGCTTTCTCCCCCTATGTTACAACTCTGTAATACGATAAACTCATCTTTAAGAGACAACAGCATAACATTTTGGATTATTTTTGTAATTAAGTAGTTTGCTTTGTTGACGTACTTCTTCCCTGAAAAACTGCATTGAATATTTTACTAAATTCCACCAGTAGAAGCATATAAAATCAGAAATCATTAGAGGAAAACAATATTGCTCCACAAAAGAAAAATGCATGACTTCTAACATAATTTTATGAGCATTGTAAAAGAAGCACATATGGCAGTGAAACATGGAGAAATGTTTTGTGAGTTTCAATGTTCTTAGGTTTTACATTCTGTTTTCTGAACGGATATTTCCAAAGTTAACATCTTGCGATTTTTTTTTAATATTTTTTCTATCACTTTATAGGACAGACAACCTAAAACCAACAATGCAGAAATCTAGCGTGCTGCACACTTTAATACACACTAGTTACTTTAGTTACTAGCACTTTACACTGACGGAACCTACTGCACTTGTAAAACTAATTTTTAAATCAGCTTGTCAAAGCTTTTGAGAAGCAATCTGAGCAATAAGGTGGGTATTTTAGTGTCTACCGTGAATATGGCCAATTACAGAATCAGAGGTCGCTCTCGCCATACAGTGCTGACGAAAAAGAGGTGTAATCCAGAGCCCCAGGAACAGAACCCGGGCCGGTGTAGGGAGGCATCCTCTTGATGCAGTACTGGGCCTGCTCAGGAGGCAGCTCTCGACGTAACTCATCTGCCAGGATATAAGGCTGGGAGGGGGGAAAGGATTGACACAATCAGTATATATGCTTTAAAGACAGAAAATATATTTATTTTCTGTAGCTGCGACTAATTAGGTCCAAATCCAGTCTCAGGATATGTGACTGTGTATGTTAGCTCCTGAGCACCGTTCAGCCACGGGCATACTACTCCTGATACAGCTCATCTGTGGACAGCTAGTCAGTACCTCTGAAGTGCACTACTGCCCCTTCTGCAGTGACAGGACAGATGCCTTTTCAGTTAGATCTTGTTAGTTTCAGCTTCCTAATTTATTTGTAAGGAAAGATGCATTATTGCTCTTAATGGTTTGCATTTATGATATGAAGGACACCCTCTGTTAACAGACTTGATGTTATTTAAAAGCAACGTAATGAAGACCATTTTTTTTCTGAGACCTTGAATTTGACCTGCCACAGGAATTGCTACTGAGAACACGTCTGGAATTCAAAATGTGGTCCACAGTAACTGAGATCACAAAATCAATACAAACAGCCAGAATGAGAAAATCGATAGAGCGAGTTTGGGCAAATAGACCTGTAGTGCTGTGATCTCTCCTTTCTCCATAGCACAGGATTGGTTTCCTGGCAGCACTGTTTACAGCCCGGACTCCTCCAGAGGCTACTCTGTTGCCATTATCCTCCCTGTTATTTTCATACACCACTCACCAGTAGACCTGGCTATGGGGAGGGAAGTATGCCAAATTCGGGAGCTTCCTCCACCAACCTAGCAACAAGAGGAGGCTGCCTCCTCCTCCTCCTAGGAGTACACCATGTTGCATCGCCCTGTTGAATGACCTGTCAGGTCACAATATGGCTCATAATTAGCTGTAGTCTTGTGCAACTGCCCCAGGCCATGTTCCAGAGGACCAAACTCTGCACTGGAACATCCAGACAACAGCCAGAAAGGCAGAATGAGTTCTCCTCTAATCAAGGCTGCTGTGTGCAAATAACTTGATGTATAATATATGCGTTACACAGACAAACTGTCCAGGTCTTGTCTAAGATGTCTAATTTTATGTTGGCTCTTTGAGATATGAGAGTACACAGAACTAGCCATGAATTCTGCACCCATTTTAGCTAAGAGTCTCGGTTCCAAACAAGAAGAAAAAGCAAGTGCTTTCTCTAGAGTCTTTACAAATTGAAAACAAAGCTTCACTATTACTAAAAGGCTTGTATAAGACTTTCAGCAAAGAAGGGCTAAATAGGAGACCTATTGAATCCTTCCAGCCAGAAGCACAATGACTGACCTTATCTGAAGCCAGGATTCTGAAGGAAGCTATCACTTGCTCAGCTGTGTCTGTGTCTGCCGTTTCTCTGGTCATGAAGTCAATGAAGGACTGGAAAGTGACGGTTCCTTGCCCATTGGGGTCAACCAGAGACATGATCCGGGCAAACTCAGCTTCACCCTTTCACAGTATCCAAAACAAAAAAAAAAACGGTCACCGTAATATCAGTCGCCCACAGCCCGTGTGTCTCATGAGAGGTTACAAAGTCTTTAAAGCATCTTCCTGACTTAAGAACATAAATGTCAGAGCCAATGAAATCTGGGATCTTAAATGCCCACCCCTCTTTTGTAAAAAGGACTCGGTGCTATTGAAAATTGTATTCTTTGACTTAAATACATAGTATGTACCTTTCAATTAACTTTATGCAACTTCTCCGCCCTCCTACCCTTCCTCAATGACTCTTCAATTTGTTTTACTTTAACTCTTCATTTTCCACCCCATCCTAAAACCACACAGGGAGGTGAAACAGCCCAAGAAGCAGTGTACTTACAGACCCACTGAACCGAAAAGTAAGGGAAACAAATTTGAAAATTTCATGCCAAATATAGGGCAGTTCAACTAAGACTAATCCTTTCTTCCACTAAAAAGTGAGAATTTTGCTGGAAATTTTTAGAATAAATAAGTGAAGGAAAGAAAATGTAACCCCCAAAACTAGTTTATGAGAATTAAACAGCATCGAACACATTCTTACTCATGCAGATAAAAAAGGAAAAAGAAAACAACAACAACAAAAATTTAATAACTGTTAATGTCAGCTTTTAAACGTTCCTTAATTCAAAGGGCACTGCAGTGAATATGGCTTTTAAGTGTCCAGTTTTACTTTTAGCTTCCTTTTTAACCAATTTAAAATAGAGAAAAAGCAAAGAAACAAGAAACTAGTATCTTTACTGTAAGTTATATTATTAGTATTCTATCAATTTAAATAAGCTTTAGTGTTGCTGGGGTTAATGTTATGAGCTGCAAGCAGAATCAGTTGCCATTGTTTCTTAAAATTCATACCAAATCATAACCCATTGAAATTAAGCAAGCTCTGAAATCATCATGGTCCATCAATCCATTCTTCCTCTATTGACCAAAACAACGTAATAAATATAGAAGGGAAGGTTTGAAGAATCCAGGGTAAATTCCAGAGAGGTGACGAGTTTAGACCATTGGCATATTGGATCCAGTGTACGAACAGTATTCATTGATATTGCCCAAGCAGGTCACCAGAATTATCATCAATTTTAAAGGAGGAAGAAGTAACTAACATAATACACACAGGAAACAGACATTATCACCACAACAAGTAACATCAGGAAAGGTCAGGGAAGAGATAAGGGAGAAGAGAAGGAGACAAGAATGCAGAGAACACAGCCAGAGAAGACAAAGAGAAGGGCAAGGAGAAAATTTTGTTATTAAAGTAGTCAAACTCAGGAGGTCCTCCAGCTGCCTCCCTGATACAAAATGTCTTTGAAAGGTTGTGCATGGGATGCTCTAGGGACTAAAAGTACAGTTAAAAACAGTCTGAAACTAGCATATCACTGACTATTTCCAATACTCCAAGTCTAAGGTAGGACCGCTAAGAGAGCTGTCTGCTGATGTAAGGGAAATACATACAGGGATTTTCTTTCTGACTGCAGGCTATCCAGACCTGGCCTACAGCAGCAAGATGTCCATACTGGCTTAAAGGATGAGACTTGCAAGACTTAGAAAAAGGTCAGCTGAAGACCTTGCATAAAAGGATGTTGCTCATTTTCCAGGCAATGAGTATCTGTGGCATTGCTGAGTAAACAGAAATGGTGGGAAAGTAGGAAGGTAAACAAATGTTTCCTCTGTGTTGTGATACAGTGGAGCAGTTTGGAGAGGAGGTGTGTCAATCTAAAGGACACAGCAGCAGAGAGTTTGTGTTAAGCCAGAGGAAAGGAAATTTCCAAAAGTCTGACTGTGAGAAGCATAGGAGCTCCTCGCAGTTACCTAGTAAAATCTAAAATCCAAGTAAAACATCTCAAACCAAGTAAAAGAAACAATCTGAAAAATATTTGTCAAATGCATAGAAAAGTATATCTCCAAGTGATGCTGACAGTCCATCTAACCCAGTTGTCTTCCCAGAGGCAGGATCTTTTCAAAGCATTATGACCAATACATTGGAGTTTAAACCCACTATCTCTTTGGCTGTTACTATATTTGCCTATCTGAAAACAGAACAATATCAGTTTCCTCTACCTGCAGGTCATTTCCAACCTGTCCTAGACTGATGAGGCAGGCTTTAAATTCATCAGAATGTAGATTGTCAGATTCATCCTAGCATCCCATCACAGGTCATGCATTGGGACAGTGAAAGGAAAGAAAGAAAAATCATAGATCGGGTTAGTTGGTTAGTAAATAGTAAAGAACTTTCTACTCTTGTATGAATAACCAATGTTTTTACAGAAGCTCGCGGAAACATAATGTCAACATATTGCAATGGATTACCTAAAAAGTGTACAACCTCTACTCTTTCATGCTTTAGTTTTTTCCTTAGAGGAAGAGGGTCCTTACTGCAACTACAGAATTAAAACTGCTTCCTGTACAGGTGCTTTTTTAATATTTTTCCTTATAGCACAGTTTTTATTCTATTAAACTGCCATTTGCTTCCTTCATTCTCTATTGTCATATAGTGTATGTGAGACAGTAAAAAGATCACTGAACCTGGGCAAAATATTTTTTCCCCCACTCAATTACTCTTACTTCACTCTTGATCTGATAATATTACTAAACAAATATGCATATCTCAAAAGAGAGCAGAAGAAAAAAACAATAGATTTCTTGTCTAGATCCAAAGTAAATTTATAATGGGTATGTTTTCAGTTATCTGTCTTCTTTAACAGTCTGTACAACAAGGTTTTGCTTTGAAAACTGATGTTAAAAAAAGCCCCATTGAATTCCAGGCTTCTAGTAATACCACATCTAAATGGATGATTGCTTTGAACGAGTATTTTCTTCCATTTTGCAGGTCAAGAAACTCACACTAACTTCTTAAAAATAGACTGGTTCATCTTTTTCTTGCTGTTCATACAAAATGTGGCCTGCCAGAGGTGTACTTCAGTTTGAGTTAACATGAATACAATTAAAGAGATGTTCTAAGACAAAAAATTATTACGCTTATTGTTTTTACAGATTGACAGTTTGGAGAAGACCCAAGAATTTCTGTCTGCTACGTTTGCCTGCTAGATTAATAATTTGGTTTTGAAAATTTCTATATAGTTACACATAACTAGAATTATAGGAGTTTTAACAAATGTGCTGGCTTTATTTAATGTACTAATAGGATAAAATGCTGCTTTATTAAGTTCATAACACCATGCATTTTTGACATATCATGTTGTTATTATACTGACTCCCTCTGCATCAGACTCCACCAGCTCCATAAATGGAAGATGAAACATAACAGTGGGAAGTCAATGATGAGAGATAAAGCAAAGCTGCAAATCTGCAGCAGCATTTAGTTAAAAATCGTAATCACAGGGAAGTTTTCTTTTCCTTTCATATTCCATTTTATAGGATAATTCCTGCTTTAACACATTCAATTATTTTTTTTTAATCATTCTCATAATGTTCACCTAGGCTGGGTTGAAAGTCTCAAAAACCATTCTGGAGATAGGCATGGGCAGGTCACACCAGGAGTGAAGTCAGCTCATTTTATCTTATCGCTAAAGCTAAAGCTATTACTGTGTGACTGCAAACAAAATGATGTAAAAGTGGGAGCTAAAAGCCAAATCCTGTCCCTCCACCTCCTCTGCCAGGTGTTGGTAGAGCACTGTTAGCTACTTGACTACACCAGGGGGGCTGGTGCTCAGCATGTGCATGAGCTCCCTAACCAGGAACATATGGCACCAGTAGTCATGCAACAGGTAGCAAAGGGCAGGTGGGAGCGAGAGAGGCCAGCACATCTACCAAGGAACCATTGTCTTTTGGAGAGGAGCACCATAGTTGTGCTAGAGCTTATAAACCACCATCTGAATAAGTGGGACTCCCCAGTGAGGGTCCAAGTAGTTGTGCCAGATGCTGTCTAGCAAGTTCTCACATTCTTGTAGTGAACTTTCCAAATCTGCATCATATATGGCCTAAAGAGGCATCTGCCTTTGAAGTAAATCAGAGTTTCATGGGATACAATGGAATTCTGCAATTAATGCATAGACCAAGCCCATGTAAGGGCCTTCTCGTTGGGAAATGGTTCTTTATTTTTATTGTTTGCAGAACGAAATTAAGCACAGAAATTAGTTCTTTCAAGCATATAAATAACTGTGCCTTGTTCATCTTTTCCCACCAATACAAATTAAAACACTGAAATCTCCTTCCGTGTTTCATCATCAGTCCCCAGAAATTTTTTCTTTCCCCTTTGTGATTTATATGTGCCCTTATAAAAGAACTGAGCTTCTGAGTCAAAGTAATCCATTCCTAAATAAGTCCTTCACTTTTCTGAATGCTAATTGACCTGCATAAGCCTGATCACGTAGTTCCTTTAATAGGGAGCTGTTGTTTTTTGTTAGCGAAATACAGGGTGAAATGACACTATTGTCCTGCCTGCAGAGCTCCTACTTAAAAATCTGTAGTTTGCACAAAAAATCAATAGCAGAATATGTTAACAGCCATTAGTATATTACATGCAGAGCAGCTGCAGATATTTTATCACATACTTTGCAATCTCATTCAGAATGTACTAAATATACTGAGTCTGGAAAAGGAATCCCTGCGTAAAAAGACTTCAAAACTAGTGACTGACAACACGTCCGTGTTGGTGTCCCAATTTGTCTGCATGCCATAACAGAGCCATGCACCATTCTGAACACCTCTAAACTGCTTCTGTGACTGAGACCTTGGGTTCTACTTGCTGTTATTTTTTTTTGTTTTTTTCCTCTATGCAGTCGCATTAAGGAAGGAAATATAGCAGGACTGCTAAAGATTTATATTTATACCTACAACTAGACTGAGCCTTCGGGCACAGCCTCTGGCAAGAAGTTGTGAGTAAGCAGCAGCATCCACAGGAATAACCTCTGGGGTACCAGCCTGTGTGCACGCCTGCTGGAAACTCAGGAGCCTAGAGGGCTGCCTCCGTGTCCCAGGGGAGGCAGTGTATTCTCCACTTGCCTTTTCCATGGACGACTTGTAACACTTCCTGAGCCAGCACCTCTCTGCTGCTGGATGCACTGAAAGAAACACAGCTCTTCCTGCTGTTGAAATGCTTATGTGCATGCTGCCCACTTACTCACTGCAGTTTGACTATCAGGGGCATGTGGGCCCCCAAAAATGCACGTGTAAAATAAAGACTCTTTTTCTTTCAAATATTCAAGATGTAGCAACCATTTCAAATGGCTTCACCCAATTACTTAGCCCTTTTCCAAGGGATTAACAACTGCAGAATTAAGACCTATAGTGGATTATGAACTGTAAGATTTTTTATATATATATTTTTCTCGTAGAGGAAGACAGGGATTCCTTTCTTAGATTTATAAGCAAAGGCAGTTGCTTCTAAAAGCACTCTATAGAAAGTTGCTACGTTTATGTGTACCAAAATACATTCTTTAAAATGGGGAAGGGAGTTACTCTACACATTAGTACTTCACTGGCATCCTCAACACAAAGAGTCAAACATTAAGGTATGGTTTAAATTGGAGAGATGCCACAGAAGTCAGAGCTATAGAAGTCAGAGCTATAGCATGCATAAATGATTCTGTTCTGCTTAGGTATTTAGAGCCTACTCATCAGGCTTAATTTTGGGGATCTTTGGTGGCTATTCATCACTGTGAATAGCAGTCCAGTTCTTTCAGGGTATTTTTTAAAAATTCAGAAATGCTGCTAAGTGCAAAAAACTTATTGTATATGTTGCTAATTACATCTGAGAAAGCCAGTATTTTTCACATTAGTGTTTACATTCAGTGTCTCCTTCTGGCCTGTATAGAGTCACATCTGCACATTAAATTACAGTGTAATTTAATCCGTATAGGCTTTTCTTTTACCAGTGTTTCTACTACCTGTCTCCCACAGAAAGCCTGGCTTGATAGCTGAGTGGGTTTACATCTTACCACCTTCCTTTCTTTAACTTGCATTATGCTCTTAAGAACATATTTGTTGCCCTGTGTCAGTGCAAAATTCGTCCTAGACTGATATCCCCATGTTTGATGCCAATGGAGAGAATATACTAAAGGGGGCATATGCCAAATGGTCCCTCCCTTAACATGATCCTTCCAGGCCTCTTTCTCAAGGCCTTGGGATTATATCTGGCATGGGGGAAGGTAGGGTCTGCAGCTAAACTTGCAGTCCAGGCCCAGGTTGTTGAGGCCATAGAAACTGTGGAAGCAGCTATCTCCTCCCGCTTCTGACCCAGCCACTCAGCCTTCCTGCAGCAGGAGCCAGAGTAGACGGCAGGAGGCTTCACGGCCTGAAGCCACGACTCATTACAGCCTGAAGAAAGAGACAGCCAGGGACAGGCAAGGACCTAGGGGCTGGGAAGCGCTTCTGCCCATCCCCAGCTCTCCTGCAGCTGTGGGACCCGAGCGCCTCTCCCAGCCCACACCCTCTTTCCTACAGCCTTGCGCTGTCGTAACCTTTGGTACCTCCGAGTCTTGCTGTGTAACACCCACGGCAACGGGGCCGTCTGCTGTGCGATTTAGCCTCCCCCTTCAAGACCTTCTGAGGCACTGAACCAGCCTTGCTGCAAGAGAGGCAGAGAACTCACCCATGAACTACAAATAGACAGGCATGCCAGAAATGGCCACCTAGCGTAAGGCACACTAGGATTCAGTCACCTTGCTTCCTTATCTTTAGCAAACCGTCAAATCTTTGAGCAATGTCACTGGTTTCCCTTAATCAGGTCTCTCAAATACTGGTGTGTGATTTTTCCAGGCCTGGCACTCTTGTCTGCTTTTAATATAGGCTCTAATTGCTCAGTGATCTGCTCCAGTGCATTGGGAAAGCCATTTAGCGTGCTACTCTCTTCCACCCCAGGAAACTGATCTCTGCTGCTGTGATGGTATATTCTGCTTCCTTAGGAAATGCAAAAAGGAATTATGCTGCGCTAGACTCACATGACGATTTTCCCTAACGTATGTTCCTGATTCCTGTGTAGCTAACCTTTCCTACGCTTCTGTGTTTCTTCAGAAAGCAGAGGTTTGGCAATTCTGCTTTTCTTTCTAAAAAATTAAAAAGATTCTAAAGAATATTTAGCATATTATGACCGTCAGCATCCGGTGCACATCAAGTGCACATCCAAGTATGGGTAACCATTTTGAGTAGAGCAGGATAAACCAGTGAAAAGAAAGACAGCATTTTGCTGTAGCCTGAAATGGTTTGAAGGAGCCAATTCATGTGATAACAGAATGTAAATTGGGGATTAAGCAGTCTGCTAACTACAGGAATATGCACTGGGGGAAAGACAATATCCTGGTGCTGCATGATTGTGACCTTTTTTCAGTATTTGACAAGTGAACTTGGTCTTGAAGGTGGGCTCATGTGAGCACTGAGCCAGCAGAGCTAACTCACGTATGCATTGTTCTCCAACTGGGAATGTCAGACTTTTGTCAGCATATATTTCTCTTTTGTGTCTATTAACAGGTATCTTTTTAACCCTGTATCCATGAATACTGCATAATTCAAAGGATTGAATTAAATTTCTTCACAATAGTGTTTCCATCCCTACTTCTTTAATCATCCGTGATTAGATAACTGAAAAAAACAGCCTCTTATTTCCCACCTACAGACAGAAAAATAAAGGATTTTCCTCGACAGCTATTGGTGCCCTAATTATACTCCTTACAAATCTACTTCTAATTTCTAGGGTGGCAAATTGTGATTCAAAGAGAAAAAAAAAAACAAAACTGTAATCCAGATTACAGCTAAACTGAATGAGATGGAAGCTGCTGGCTGAATGTGCTTCACTGCCTTAAAATAAAGAGGCACATTATCTCCCAAAACACACAGATTTATCCTGTTCTGCCTGTTATTTGAACAAATACTCAACTATATCAGCAAAACTACAATTCTACATTACATTTAGAGAGTAAAAATTAATCTTTAACATATCTTCACAATGCTATGTTTTCATAAGGCTATAAATTCTTTGTTAACTCATCTTTCTTTCTGTTTTCAAAAAAAAGCCCATTGCTACTGCATTCACAGTTTTTTAAAAGACTTGCATTTAGAATGAAAAGAAACTTGCTTTTGCAAACAATACGTATTGCTAGTTGAGAAAAAGCAGGAGTACTGTACCCTGTCAAAATGATTGAATGATGCCCTGAAGTCGTTCATTTGTTCCTGGGTGATACCCTTGGCATCTCTTGTGAGGATCTGAGTCTCAACCTCATTGATAGTTCGAGCAATGGTGGTAAGCAGGAGCTCCCACCCAACACGGATGTGCTATGAGAGAGAAAATACTCATTTATTAGAGAGTCAAATATATTCTTCTAAGCATATAAAAAGTATGGTAAGCAAAAAATCAGCTCTAAATATTTATGTGATACTCTTTCCATAACACTAAGTCCATATTACGACTAAAGATCATTAAAAGTAAAAATCGCCCTCAGAAAAATATGGAACTGGTTTCTAAATGGGTTCTTGTTCATTAAAAGTAAAAATAAGTGAAAAGGAAACAAGTCTTATGAGAATATCAGAGAGCCTGCCAAATTCCATCCTCTGCTGCAATCTCTTCAGATCAGGAAAGGTAGTTCTCTGGCAGAAGAGGGCAGGATAAACTATCAAGTACAACAGGGAGTAAATGGCTACCTCCATAGTGTAATTGGTGTGCTTGTTGTCGAACACCAGGGCTTCTTGTATAAGCTGATGATCTCCTTCTAGTTTGTCAATGTTGTGTTTATAATTAATGATATTGTGCTCATATTGCTTCAGCTGATTCATCTGGTCCTCCAAAGGCCCTGTCATTTCAATAGAGCTCCGGGCAATTTCCTGTCAAAAAAAAAAAAAAAAAAAACAGTCACACAACCCCATCCCACAGAATTTAAGCTTTAGATTTGCTAATTTGACAAACATTCACAGAAGTATGTAGTATTTTCACACTAAGAAGCAATAGTAATAAAATCTTCATACAGCGGAGATGAGAAATTTTACTGTAGAAAACACATTTCAAAAGAAATGTAACATTTAAGTCTGGAATTTGCATCGAGATTCCAGTGATCCTGGCATCATTCCTTTACAGAAAGCAGAAGCTAAAAAGTGTTTAGTGAGTAATTTTCCAAAGCTACATCTCCTGCTCACCATCAAGGTACCATTTGTACAAGCTTCCTCATTTTTTTGTGGAAGGTGCTAAATACCTCAGGGTCAAACAGCTGGTGAACTACCACAGAGATTGCTGTTATCCTGTCTATAAGGCAGAGCTAAAAAATAATAAACCATTCTGTTTGTCAGCTGCTGCATGAGGGCGTGGCACTCACCTCCATCTTGGTCTGGATCCACGGCCCAATGACATTAGCCTGAGCAGCAAACTGGCGGCGCAGGCGCTCGTTGGCGTGCTGACGGGCCAGCTCCTCCTGCAAGGATTGATCCCTCTGAGGCACCAGCTGCTTCACCTGTCGCCGTGGGAAAGCACCACGTGTGAGTAGGAATGCAGGAATGAATCGTTTATAAACAAACGGAACAAGTAAGTTACTGATTTTTCTCATTGGTCGGAAGGTGGGTATCAGGACAAGCCAGAGACATGATCCCTATTTTACTTACCAGTTCTGTGCTAATATAAGAAATTGCTAACATGGTCTTGGGCAGCCTGGCCAGAGAGACTTACACAGAGCAAGAAGGGATTCTCACTTCTGGCTGGATTCATGTTCAAGAGAATTATTTAACTTGAACTGCTATTAGAGCAGTTAGTCGGTTTTTCTTTTGAAACACAGGTAATTTTTCAATTTCTAAGTAAATGTAAGAATAGCCAGTGCAAAACATTTTATTGGAGCACAGCCACTGCAATAGGATAACATGTGACGTGTTCTGTCCACCATGTCTGAAGGGCTGTAAGACACTGCAAATGCTTTTTTTTGGGGCTTACCCTTTTGGATTGCCCCAGGAGATTCTGAATTTAGTCCTTACGGTTGGACTTTCATAACACATTGAGGGCATATAATAATAAGACATTATCTGTCTTAGTTCCTAATGAAATAAAGTTTGTGTGATTGCTGCAGGAGCCTCTCTTTAATACTGCCCCGGTGATTTTTTAAGGTAATTGCCAATTTCAATTTGATTGGACAGAACATTAACAGTCCCAAAGATTCTAATTTTTTTACAGCATTTGTGAAATGTAGCAGTTGGGTAGAGGAGACACATGAACTAATGTGTATACTAAGAAAAAGAATACAATAATTTTCTGGGTTTTTTTGACAGTATCTCATGGCCCATCCGCTGGTCAGCCACCAGTTCTGCACTAGCCCAAACACACGCTTCTCTTGCCCCGACAAAAAGTACATAAGTCATCCTGAGTGATGGGAGCAAGGGATATTGCAAAGCAAGACTAGCAAATGCAAAGGAGAGCATAAGATGCTACAGAAAGTTCATTCTGGAAATTTATGATCTATTGTAAAGTTCTCTAAATATTTTCAGTATTCCTAGAGTACTACGTTCCAATGTCCTTTATGTGTTTAGCATACGTTACCTTTTCCCATTTGCTACGAATCTCATCCACAGTGACAGTGCTGTAAGGATTGGTTGCACTTATTCTCATGTTGTAACTCTGAATAACTTTTTCAACTTCATTCTGGATTGACAGTATGGCCTGTCTTTCACCATCTGCCTCCGGCAAAGTAGCTTTAAATTGATCATGTGCAGAGATTAAACTCTAAAGTCAGAAACAGAGAGGGAAAGCATGAAAACTTTAATTTTTTTTTCCAATATCTGGAAGACCTGCTGTAAATAAGCACAGCTCCTTTCTCTCAGTTTCTCAAACACCCCATCTACAAGTATCTGGAGATACAGGAAATAAAACTTTCAAGATACTTTCAAGAAATAGCTCTCATTGACTTTATCAGGACCATCACTTCTTCCATGATCTTTGGAATATGTTTTCATACAAATGAAGAACCCTCTTTATAACAGAGCAGGCATTGCCTGTCATAAAGAAAATGTCAAGACAGATATTTTCTTACACATGCTGTACTCTCCAATAGAGAAAAGCTTCCTTTCTTGTTCTCCCTATGACTGTAAGCCAAAAAATAGAGCATTATTTACCTGAATTTCCTCTATGCTATGAACAATAAACATATCCTGTAGGTCTTCCATAGCACCTTCCATCCAGTTGTTGAAAGGAGCAGCTCTTTTGGCAAATTCCAGATGAAGCTGATCAATTGTTTCAAGCAATTTCTCCGTCCTCTGTAGAGGTTGGGAAAGGTACATTCTTTTGTTACTAGGGCAAGACCAAACTCCACACACACACCCACTCACCTACAAAGTCATGTCTCACCTTTTTGAAAGCAATTCAATGTATTGTTGACTGATTTCACCACCTACTTTAAGGATTTTCATTCAAGGCAATGGGACTAATTGCACTAAAGATACTCCCATATCCAACATGTTAAAAGGGTTGTATGCCTTTGAAGGGTAACAGGTGAAATTACTTTTTCACCACTGATACTTTAAGTATTTTTGCTATTGTGACCTATCTGCAAATCAATTAAAATCTGGTAATCTTGCTTTAGTAATTTCTTGTAAGTATAAAAAGAAAGAGTTAGACATAGCTTTCCACCTTGGCACACATGTGTGACCTCCTCTTTTCTTAAGGAACAAGGCTTTGGAAAGTATCTCAGTGCTTTGGAATACTCACTGCCAAAAATATCAGCCCTGTGCTGGCCATTATCCTGTACCTCACCTGACTAAGCTCAGACAAGTAGGAAAAGGTAAGTGCCTAATGGCTTTTGTTGTCTTTGCTGAACATCAAATTCCCAAGGAGTGGTGCTATAAGCCGCGTGCCGTTTGTTGCTGCTTTAGAACTTCCCTTAGCAGCTGAGTAGTGTCAAAGATGCTCTGAGCAATTCAATATGTTTGCAGATGAAACCACACCAAAGTGAAATGAAGATCTGAGGAAAAGGTTTGTTGCTGTTTGGATTCAAAAGTGGATGCTCAATGGCACTGTTTCCAGATCTGAAACAAATGGTTGATTTCCCACGCCCTGTCTCAGCTGAGCTGCTGATTTGTTACATGATTTACCTCCAGTGCCTCTCTCCTTTTCTGAGTAAGTGTTCCCAGGCTGTCCCATTGGTCACATATCTTTTGGCATCTATCATTGACACTTGCAGCATCATGGTAGTCCAGTTCACTAAGAAAGAGTGAAGAAAAAAACTGTGATTTTCTGAAAGACAGGAGCAGTTGCATTATCCACAGACTTCCACGAGCCCTCAGCAATTCTTCCCTCTTTTTTCCAATATTTCTCCTCCAGGTGAGCAGGTGTTTCAGTATAGACAAGTGTGATCTAGACATTCAGTATTTCAAGAAGCACAACACAGGAACATGATCAGCCACTTCTGTTGCAAGAAAAATCAAGTATCCATCTGTGACATCCAAGTATGAAAGACAATTAAGGTGTCTAACCATTTTTATCTCCGGTATTCCTGTGGCATAAGCAATTTGGTCTCCTGAAGATCAAAATGCTTCAGTCTGGGGCTTCATCAAGTTTCTGAAGATTGGTACAGTTTTAAATCGATCGGTCTGAAATATACATTTAGTTTTAAATAATTCAATTATCCTTTCCAGCTTCATATGCTCTGAAATGACTTAACTGAGAAGCAAACCTCAGGATGCATTCAAAGCATAAACTCTCTCTCACAGGCTTGGCAATATTAATAGGGGCTGCCCAGACCCAGGGCACAGAGAACAATTCTCACCTTCCTCTCCAGGAGCTCCTCACAGAGCTACACCCTAGAACTGGCTGGTTCAGAGAAGAGGGATCTCCAGACATACACATGCCACCAGCATGAGTCCATGCACCCATGAAGGATGTAACAGTTAGCATTCTTTTTCCACCTGCTTAATAGGCTTATATTATCCTCACAGAAAGCAACTTACTTTCTGCTTAAGACTGGAATAACCTTTTAAGGCTCTGTCCTGAGATTCTGCACTGAGTCTATCTCAAATTGATTTTTTTATCTCAGTGGTAGATAATATCCTTGCTTCTGATGCAGGCATCATAACCATTATAAAATACATGTGCTTGGCACTTCGTAAGCTCACTTTTATTGGTGTATCATCATCCACTGAATTTAGCTCTTGGCTTCTCCTGGAGGACACTTTGCCCAGTACTAAACATTGCAGAGACTGTGATTATGTGACAGCATGGCAATATGAACCTAAGATTTACTTTAAGGCTTGAACATAATATACAGGTAGACATTGTTCCCTTCTTTTCAGCATTCGTTTTTAGGGAATTGACAAGAGGAATGTACAAATCACTCTGCCAGTAACTTCAAGAACCACAGAAGACAAAATGAGAACAGAGGTAGCTTTCCGCCGTGAAGCTGCACTGCAGGCCAGGAGCAGTGTTCATGCTTCCTCCGCTGAGCTCAGTCACAGCAATCTGGTTCAGCATGAAGCTGAGGAGTATGTGAACCATTCTGTTCTAACAGAGGCTTCAGACACGCTGCAATCAGTCAACTGTTGAAAGTGGAGAATGGTAAAGCAAGTAAAAATAATGCCATAGCAATTTTTTAAAAATAACCAAGCTGGCACCAAGTTATACAACTCGAGGCCTCCTTAACTCAAAAAACTTGCTTCCTCCTTTGGAGGAAGACATTTTGTTAGCCTTCAAGGGATGCAACAAAAGCCATCTATCTTTTAAGAAATATTAAGTCAGAGGCATGGAACTTTGGATGGAACAGGCTGAGATAAACTTTGCTGCTATGAGTTTTTGGCTGGAAGATGCTTTTTTTCATTAGAGCAAATTGAGATTATTAGATGATGTCCCTGTGTCAGCTGTGAGCTGACACTAAGTGGATGGGATGTGGAGATTTGTATTCTGGTCTCTTTTTGCATATCAAATCTAATATACCAGAATATGGACAGGGTATTTTTCCAGATACTCCAGGTCACAACCCTGAGAGTTCTGCAAATGTTACTTTTGTTTCTATGGATCTCTTATCTCCTTTTGTCAATTGGGATAAGGGCAGGTGTCCTTCCATGAAAGTGAGGGACTGATTGTAACAGCTCTGGTCAAAGTCCTGGAAGGTAATGTGCAACCTTCCTCCATCAGCTCTACCAGGGAGGTTCAGTCATTCCCCATAAGATCTCTGCTATCCTATTTCTTCCAGGGATATGTGCTGTGGACAAATAGGTAGGAGAATAATATCACAACAAATTTAAAAAAGGGCATCCATGGATCAAAAATCAGAAGTTAGATCACCAAGTGACATTAAACAGTGTAGCTCCACTGCCTTTCTGGGCCTTGTATCTCTCTCAGCATTGAAGCTGTGAGGAAACTAGATTTCACGTTTTGTAAAAAGAATTTTTGCTTATCATGCATACACAAAGGACTGCTGCACATGAGCTACAGAACTTTTAAGAGAACAGTCATTTCTATTTGTTTGGTTATTTGAAATCTACAGCCTTTGGAATTTAAAAATCATTAAGCTATTCCTGTTGATCTTACAATTCAATCTTATCTGTAAAGAATATTAAATTTAGTCAGATTTTGTCCTAATCCAGAGCAGCACTCACATCTGAGCTCACTTGAGGAACAGTGAGAGTGTCACAAAAATAACCTGCTGAGCAACACACTTTAGAACTGTTTCAGAACCAGGCTCATGTTAATCACCCACGTAAGCACAATTTGAGCCCAGGTTTCCAGAAGCAAAAAGACTCCCCAAATCAGTGTTGCAGTGTTTCAGTATCCTTGGCTGAAAATAAGTTGCCATACTAAAATTGATGGATATGCAAGAGCTACTGCAGCAGAAAATAGCAGAACAGACAGGAGACTGTAACTGGTAGAGTTCAAGACCACACAGCAATTGTTCTCCTTTGAAATGGCAACATTAGGCATCCAAGAGATGGATTAAAACAAAACACAGAGGTGTACTAACTCGTATTTTAGACATCTAATCATCATAGATGATGATGATTACTGTTAAGGCCTGATCCAGTGATAAAAAAAAAAAAAAAAACAAAACCACAACCCTCCACATCTCCACATTTCCAATAGTCTTTGTAGCAGGTGTCAATGTAAATTTCTTAGCATTCTTCTTCAAAAATACAAATGGATAAAGAAATTAGCATTTTTTCTCCATAATTTCCTTGTGTGAAGAATTACCCCTAAATAATTAGAATCAGCATTTAAATAGAAGCTGCCCGTTTGTTTGCAGCTAATAATAAAACTTTATGGCCTTTCATTTGGTGTTCTCCAAGGGCATTAAGCCTAAATGAGTTACTGAGTCTCAGTGAAAAATTCGGGCACTTCTAGCCCCATTGTATGGGGAGAAGCAATAGCTTTTTAGCACCTTTGCAGCCCAAGCCACAAATAAGTTGTTTAACTTCACACAGCAAATTACTGAAACAACTGAGAAGAGACAATCCTAAAATAGACAGGATACAGTGTTCACTGGCCTCCCCAGAGGTAAAGGGCACAGGGTTCAAAACACTGGTAAGCAGATGCTGTGCTATGTATACGACATTCCCAAAGTTTCTCATCACTTGTAAAGCTGAAGCTGAATCAACAATGATTAGGTGTTTTGGAATCTTTCTTCAGCAGAAAGAGGAACAAATAACTCCACAACAGAGATCGAGGCGTGTCAGAAGGTGTTTCCTGAGCTCACACACTCGGTGAAATCTCCATTCTCTGCATTTTTCAGATTTCTTTCACACTAACTAAAACTGCCCACTGCGCTTTGCTTTTCTTCCTTCAAATAATCATGAAAAATAGGATTTTTCTTCTAAATCCATTTGAATTATGCAATTACTGTAAGGGCTGCTGCTATCAGGTATGAACTATGTTTTTAGACGACTCTCTGATTTTTAAACTGCTAATGAATGTGGAGCTGTTTAGGAGTTGTGGTCCTTCACAAAGTGAAAGGGTGAATGTTTTCAACACTTGACATTGGACTATGTTTTAACACTGGTTTGCCTACTCAAGAAGGTGAGAGATTGAAACGTGGAGAGCTGAAGCCAAGGGCAGAAATCTGAGAATTTTAATCTTGGCTCCTGTTTCAACCACTACCATGCATTTGTTCCCATTGGCTTTACATATTTATACCGCGGGTGAGCAATGGATTTAAGTATGTGCCAAATGGCTGAGAGCAGGAGTAGCACCACTGATTTACTGTACAAACCCACTGCAGTTAACTGCATAAGGTCACGAAAACAAATGTGCTTAGCTTGGTGCATATACCAAGACTGCTTTACCAGAACTGGGACATCTGTATGTGACACTAGAGTCCTGTCAGTGTGGGCAGAGCTTAGCTGACAAAACCGTGCTTCACATGGGTGAATCAACAGCCTTCCCACAAACAAACGCAAGCTCCACCAATAAAAAGAGTTCAGCCAGAGTAACTGCATCAACAATCAGGACTTGTGCTCCCATAAGGGTGTCTGTCAGTCAGGGACCTTGACTTTTGACATCCCTGACCTACATAGCTGCTGCCAACAATACATGTTGATGTACTAGATGTAGCCTAGACGTGTTGTAGAACTGTTCTCAGCCTCGGTTGTGTTTTCTCTGGGCACAGTATGCTGCGTGAGCAAATGCTGGTCCTGTGGCCAAGTTGATGGAACTGTGGGTGAAAACTCTTACTCTCCTACAGGAGAGCTTGTGTGCTTGATTGCTTGAGTGACTCGGAGCAAGTTATTTAGTTTCCATATGCCCACCGACCTTTCTGTAAAGTGGAGACAATGGCACTTCCAAATATAATACGAAGAGACTGTGAAAAAAATTATACTAGTGATAATTAAATCTTCAGAAAAGTCAGTGCATTACCCACTAATATAGAGGTAGCTTTGGGATCTGAAGCCTTTTGAAATTACCAATGTACTTGTGGGAAAATACTTGACTTTAAAGTGAAGATGCTTGATCTGTAATTTGTGTAAATGAAATTATTTTCTGTGCTAAACAACTCATAGCCAGTACCTCTCACCAGACCATATGAACTGAGAAATAAACACCTCCTGAATTCCCATCAACACACAATGGGCTCATCAGTAGTGCTAATGCTAGAAGATTACTGTTAAGGCCATTTTAAAATGTTTGTTTTCAAATAATTTTTGTCAGTTGAATATCTATATTTGGTTGAGGGTAAGGGGGATATGAGGGAAAGGTCTCAGTGACCAGCTCAGATAATATAGTTATGAAGCTATCTCTGGAATTCTTACGCTGGTACCTATGACACTATCAAATTCATTGGAAAGAGTTTATCGCAAAGTTAAATGTCAGCAGCTGCAAGCCTTTAAATGGAACATACTTCAGCTCCTGGGCAATGGCAGCGATCTGTTCCACCCTGTCCTGGTGAGCAGCCAAATCGCTCTCAAAAGCTTCATGTTTCCTTAGCATGGCGCGGACTTCTGTCAGAGAGGCGGATTCGTAATCCTTCTGAAGCAAGATCTGCTCTTTGCCTGAAAGAGGAAATTCAAGTATTAGTCGTTTTTTACTAATTTGTTGGTTAGGATAATTGCAAATTTAGACAACTTTTAAAACTGAGGCATGGTGAAAATCACATATATGAGATAAAGTTCCAGCCTCACTGAAATCACTAGCAGATTGTCAGGAAAACTGTTAATTAGAAGAAACATATATTTTCAAAGATCTCTCAGTAATTCCTTGATTTTTGCATAGGCTGTTTATGCTGGTCTAAAATAGCGAATATTACAGTATCACTTGAGCAACTGGCATAAAAATGGTATATTGGCAAAAACTGTGGCTCTAAACTATTCTGATATGTCTTTTGTAGCGGAGACGTATGGAAGCAGAAATCACACTGCTATGCTCAGCTTCATTTTTACTAATGATCTGTGCTTCTTTTTCATAATCTGCCTTCAATTTCTTATGCATTTCAGCACTTCAAAAAAAAAATTGAGGTGTGGCTGCCTTTTGTATCAAACACTGAATTTCAAGTGGAAAATGCCAAGCTATTTGCAAAAAGCTAGAGATGCAAAGAGGAAATCAGTGAGTGAAATATTACTCCTCAGTAGCTCCTGTGTTGGACGACCGAATCTATACAAACAGCTGCTGCTACTGCAGCTCACCACATGGCATGACACAACCCTGTGAATTCTAGAGCCAGAAGGGACTATTGTCTCTCTTGCTAGTACCAGCTTTTGTGAAGTTTTCCCTGCGTAACAGTCATAACTTGTCACCATGAGCAGTTTATGCTCATAAAATAGGCTCTCAGGGCTGATAAACACTGTAGTTTCCCTTCTAGTATCTGCTTGGCAGCCATTTATAGCCTTGTATGCTTCCAGCAGCTGTGTTATGGGATGGACTCTGCTTTACTTTCACAACGTGAAAAGATTTTAGCTGGAAAGAGCCAGAAGCATGGCAGAAGCAGGAAGACTGTTGTCAGGGCAAACAATAGGATGGTAGAGCAGATCTACATTTAATGGTCCCCAGTAAAACTGTCTGCCAGTGTATGGTCCTATAGCTGTTACAACTGCATGTAAGGTTAGGTTGCCATTAAAAACCGGAACTATAAATGAGGTGTAAACCAGTGTACGAGCAAAGCAGAAGTGAGTCTGTCATCATCATGTAGTTTATGTGAGCAATTCAAAACATCATGATGAACAAATAAACAACTCAGAATGACTCTTAATAATTTCACACTTCCTAGTTGGATTTCTGGTGTACAAATACATAGCTATCCATTAGTAGTAATGGCCTCTATTCCAGTGCCAAATATTCCCATTAAGTTTGACTCACTACCTCAGAAGTATGAGCTTTACAGTTATATTTCATTGGCAACACGCCTACAAGTTAGGGTCATGACTAAAGTCAGCAAAACCTGTAATTTTATCTGTTATTATTTTAGGTTTCTAAAACTGTCCAGACTACTTATGAGTAAGTTTCTGGCTGGCAAATATCCAACAATGATGGTTCAAATTTGAACACTAAAACACTGAAAATGTTAAAAGCCATCTCTGCTCACCATATGCCCACTGCTCATGAGTGGAAGCCTTCTGTCTAAATTTCTCAGCCAAGTGTTCAAGTCTTTCCAGTCTTCGTATTTCATTCAGCAGCCACTCTTCATAGCCTTTCTCAGCTTGTTCAAGTCTCTGCCAAGCGCCGGCAATATCCTGTGAAGAGAATACAGGGGAGAGAGGGGATGAAATGATAATCTCTTTTTATCCAAATCTGCAGATTTCAAATTCATGCACAGTTTTGCTCCAAAAAGAGAAGTTTTTATGTGCAGGTATTGTAAAATCACAGAATCGTAGAAAAGTTTTTTGAGCTTCCTTGAAAACTCAAAGGCGTGAGTAGGAAACTGAAGTAACAGGGCCCTTATTGTCTGTGTATGAGTGGACAACAGTCCTTTTCAGAAAGTGCCATTTATCACATCTGAGCAACCAAAGGAGTATAGAAACAGGTTTGCTATATTCCACAGGAAATGTTTTGACCCACGGTCAACTCAAAATACTTATCAACAGATGAGAATTCCTGGCACTGACTATTCTTATCTTCACAGACATAAATTAAAAAAAATTAATGTTACAAAGTAGTACTGAGCAATATCTGTCACTCAAAGTCTGATGATCAAAATGTCAGTGAAACCACTATGAGCTTTGCTTAAATAAACAATATTTGGCCTCACTAACAGAGAATTATTGATAACACCTCCAAAGGAAGCTCTGTATCATCTCATGTCTCAAGACAATTTGCTATTGGGGAAAGGCTCAGAGGCAGGAGCATGGTTAAGAGAAAGTAAGATTCTATAATGAAAGGGAATGTGTAGGGTGGTTTGATATTGATACAGTGCAACAAACCGAAGTTTTGGAGGATGACTTAAAATGGCATTTCAATCCTCCATATTGAAATTTTTGTGAGAACATTGATAGAAAGGATAACAGAATATTGGTGTCTCCTTTACTTACTGAAACCATTTTTCCCTCTGATGGCATGAAAGCTGGCCGATTGCTGATTCTCAGTTTTGTCTGCAGGGTGTTGAAGTTGATCTCCAGTTGACATTTCTCTTGGACTTTGGGAGGTTTGTGTTTGCGGCGGTAGTCCCGGAAGTCTTCTAACTTCTTCTGCATAGCCTGCATTGTTTTTTCTGGGGTCCTATTTTCCAGCCAAGGGATTGTCCGGCGAATCCACTCTAAAAGCTTTCAAACCCACATGAACAATTGAAAGAAAGGCAATAGGAAATCAACCAAAACATTAGAATACTGAATGCACAAATCCTAACCAAGTTCGCACCATTTTAATATTATTGGCTTCAGTTACTATTGGTGCCTTAAGGGCAAGTGAGCACAAGAGTTTCCATGCTGAACAATACTTTTTTAACTTATTTGCCCAGATATTCTAGGTATTTCTAGAAATACCCTAATTTTCAGAAAGATTAATTACTCAATTCCTAATTACTCAGAACCTGAGTTATCCAAAATCACTTGCCACTTTCAGAAGTATGGTCTTGGTGTCTCAAGAAGTCATAGTTATGAGATCAGGACACACACCAGCCAAGTAACTCAAGTCATACACAACTGTCACAAGTCTGTAAGTGCCAATGTAGCACTATGTACTGTCTTTGTGTCTATGATCTCAGTATGGTTTTGCAGGTTGTGCACTGAAGACAAAGGTCTCACTTGTGCACTACACTTCTATAGACCTGACTCAACAAATTTGCAATTTAACAAGAAAGGACAGCAGGAGCACAATGTGCTCCCTTCTTCATTCATTCACTGTCTGTGTTCTCAGGTGGATTGTGAACACCCTGACAGACCCCATCCAGGTGTGCTCTGCAGTACACAAAGCCAATGGGCTTGCTTGGAGTGACAGGATCGTGTATGTTCCACATGTGGTCAAGGATGGCTGTCTTTGGAGATTACAGAGACAGCAAGCTTGGTCATGGGACAGATCAATGACAGTCCTCAAAACACCCTTTTTTGGCATACTAATGAGACTCAATGACTTGCTGGAGGTTACACACAAAGTATGTGGCAAAGGAGTCACCTGAACCTTGACATCTAGGGCAACTGAGCTTTGTATCCTACCACTTTGAGATTTACCCTCATAGTGTCTACACTTTGTTCTCTTGCAGAGAGTGCATGAATCTTTCAGCCTTCAGTACTTCATGAACATAATTACCACATTACAGATACAGCTGGTTTTACCTCGCTTGCTAGTCTCTCGTACTCTTCCATCAACCTCTCATTTTCCTGATTCACGGCAAGCACCTTACAGATCCGGTTAGCTGCAGTCTCAGCCTGTAGAACACAGCAAATTAACAGGACATGTCCATAAACACATTCTGAGAAAGGTATAGGCTTGGCGAAAGTGAGACTGTGGCTGCTGCAAATAAAAATCACACTGGTTTATAGTAGGTGACTTGTGTTGCTTAAATCCTAGGTTGCTTACATATTTACCCTCTTTCTGCAGTCACAGGTTCCAGTGGCCTGAACAAGGCACAGATCAGCACAGAAGTCACCTTGTTGTACAATGAGGCGGGAATTTCACACTGTCATTAGAGCTGTCCAGTAAATCTCTTTTCAAAGATGACTCAGGCCATTCTTTAAAGTTATCTAATTAGGTTATTTTTTTTAGATCACACCAAAAAAAGTGTTAGATTCGTTAGCCACACCAGAAAGACACCACACGTGATTCAGGAGTCCCAGACAACACTGTATCTGCACACTCTATGTGCATATACCTTTGAGAATACATGCAGCTCAATCAATGGCAGCAAATCTTTTCATGCCTCCTGACAAATTTATTCGTTAAGGCACTGTGCAGCTCTGCCATATTTAAAATCTACGTTAGTAGTTTGACATGGCAGATCTATACTTCCACATAAATTTGAGCCTGGAGTATATCTAATCACACAAATATGTATGTAGACTCCTGTGTTACAGAGCATGGGGAACCTGCCTTTTGCAGGAATAGCAAGCTCTTCATACCCAGAAGCAAGAGGGCACAACAGCATAGCTGTGCTCTGATAAGGTGTAGGGGGCCTACCAGACACAAAGGGAAATTAAATCCTGAGGATAAAGGAACAGTATCAACTACTTGAAGATTTGTTTGGTTTCAGGGGTTTTTTTTTCATGTAAGTTGGGTTATGTCCACTTGTAGGCTAGACAGGTATGAAGCAGAACAGTAGGAAATGCCACATTTGTAAGTGAGAATCTCCTCCTGTATGACAGATCTGATTACAATGTTCTTGCCTATTATACTAGTACTTTGAGCCACAAATGATTCTGTTGGCTTCAGTGGGAACCAGTCAGAAATACCGTGTTGGATGTCTTCTGTGCTTTTCTGCATCTTTACGCATCTTTGAAAATCTAGCCCTAAATTACTATTCAGCATGAGTAAATCTAGGATAGGCTTAATCTCCAAAAACCAAACACTTTTTTATGCAGCAAATGCATAAGGTGTTGATGTAGCAACAAACAACAACTCCATTTCACAGTATCTTCACATATAGTTTTTCTGGAACAGTCTTCACAATCACCAAAGACCAAAAATTAGAGAGAGGAATGTCCACTGGTATTAAAGTAGTTCAACTTGCTACACAACATTTAATGAAAACAGGTTCAAGTGTTGGTTAAAAACAAGTATTAGTGGTCAAGTAATACTTGCAATTGTTAATTAAAACCACAAACTACTAAATTAATTTTTTTCTTAATACACTAGTGGAAATGTGAAACAACCAATCAAAACCACAGCAACCTGAAGGGACAGTTGATTAATACCTGCTCTGCTCCAGCAAAAGCATGGTAGAAGCAGGACACATATGTCATGATAGCTCTCTCATCAGGTTTGGGAGTGTTCACAATATCTACAAGAAGGGGGGGAGAAATCAAAAAATAGAATGGAGGAGTAGAAAGGAGGATGAATAAATAAAAGCACAACATAGTGTCATTCTGAATGCTTTCTTTTCCGTAGCTCTGTATTCTAGAAACCCCATAAAGCTGTAACAGATTTAGTGTTAGATTGATGGGTACAGATAAAAAGTACACTGGAAATTCAATGTAAGCTCTCACAAAGAGATGGAATTTTTTTTTAATAAGCTTGGTCCTGCAGTATTGTCACAGGGGGAGTGATCTTAATTTTACCAGGACTATCTGCTAAGAACTGGCACACATATGTGTGGTGAGTGAGAATGGGGTTGCTGGGGGGAGGTAAGACACAGGAAAGACAGGCTACATTTTGATCTGAGGAGATGGTCTCTGGAAGTTGTACATAGATTAGTTACAACTTCAGCATTATATATCAGTATTCTTTACACTACTAATACCTGAAATATGTCCAGCTCTATTGCCTTGCTTTTTAAAATGTTCCTTTCTTTTCATTAGGCTATAATTCCAGAGCTCTTCTGAGATGTTTGTGTATGTTTATGTGTCTATTTTTCATAGCAGCAACATTTTATGTTGGTGTCTGTACTTACCATTGAGCATTTAACATTTTAAAAACAATCCCGAAAGCATAAGAGAAGGGTTTATTTTCTAAGCATCTGTTACAATGATTTTGACATCTGTAGCAGGAATAATATCCAGCAGGGAGAAAAAAGATGGCATTCTGCTACTGAAGTTGTTTTTTCACTATGAGCTTCTTTTCAACTTGCATTTTTAAAGGTGCTTCAAATGAATGCACACAAGTTTAATTGAAGAGAATGAAGTCCTCTATCCTGTTTAGTAACCAGCTGTCAAAAGCCTACTGGATATTATTAGCAAATACACAAAAAGATGAGACAGGGAGGTTTGTTTCTATGGAACAAATGGATAAACTACCACCAGTTCTACTGAGACAGTGGCTCACAGAAAAAATCAGGCAACAGGAAATGAACTCAACTCTAAGATGCTGTCCTAGTAACTAGTGAGGAAAAGATCAGAAGAGGAAAAATTGCTGAAAGAAACAAGACAGAAGGTGAAGGATGAGATCTGAGCCATCTTCTACAATCTCACCTTCTGAGCACCAGCAAATGCATGGTAGTAACAGGAAACATAAGTCATAATGGCTCTTTCATCAGGTCTGGCAGTGTTTACTATATCTGTGTAGAGAGAAGAGGGTTAACTGCTCAGAAATTCTCACAAGGTACTTCCACCAGGTTACGCTGATGATGCCACCTTAGTGCTGTAAAGATTCAAAATAAATACACCATTATTCAGACTGCATCTGTTTACTGGTATCAGTGCAAAGCTAGCTGAGCTTTAGGACTCAGTAAATGGAAAAGACAAAACTCCCTGAAATGGCAAAACGTCTGAAGGCTGAGACTGTACAGAAGGATATTGCTACCTTCTAGTTTGTAGAAACTTCCAAGCAGATGGCATGGCTGGCAGATCTACTGGGTTCAGCTTCACTGTCTCTCCCAAGTAACTTCATCTAAATCACTAGAACTATTCCAGAGTTAAACAGCCACTGACAGTCACAAAATAGGAGGGAGTACATTATATATTAGCACAGGGTTCCCGTGACTGACAGGTTATTGATATATATTGGAAACCTGTAGAACTCTGGCAGTCCACAAATACATTTTGTGCTAAGAAAAGCTTTGAGAGTAGCAGTGTTGCAGTCCTTGAGCCAGTTTGTCTTTTTAGTTAATAGCATAAATCACAGAAGAGTTTGGCTTGGCTGGCTGATGGCTTTGTCCCTGTTATGGCAGAAAAGACTAAAAGCACAGAGAGGGTGAAATCAAGGTATTTGGTACATTGGTAAAAATGGACCCTTTCAATACTTAACAGAGAAAGGCAGAAAAAGGTCGGTTTATATCAATTATGGAAGCTGCAAGAACTCCTGACAATGTAAGGAGCGGGGAGAAACTAGTGTGAAAAGACTTAGGAATGAGGTGACAATTTCTAATATTAACAGTGAGATTTCTAAGTTCAGGACCAATGTATTTACTGATTTTGTACCTAATTCACATTGCTGTGAAAAGAACTTTGAAAAGTTTCCATTGAGAACAAAGGGGAAGAGAGTAAAAAGTGACTGAATACTTAGAGGGTGTTAGAAGAAGCGTCATTTCATTCCCCCCTCCCCTGCCAAGAATAAGAATAGTAAGGGGAGGGCTAGAAAGTACAGAAAATCTGGTGAGAAAACAAAAAGGTTTTTTACATTGTATGTGAAGCGAAAAAATGAGGAAAGGAGAATGATAGGAGGTGCTTAGTGGTAAGGTCATAGCACTTCTATTTATTCTTTGCACAGTATTTCAGAATAAAATGATTAGGTGGTGCTTGAAAGGGGACTTGCAATGCAAAAAATGAAAACAATTAGTTTTGAAGCGTGAAGGTGAAACCTTCAATGTAGAGGTTACAACCTGGCTTTTCTAAATCATCCTGTACTGGCATAACTTTCCTACCAAAGACTTCATGGGGAGCAGATACAGTGAGTTTGAGTGCTCTGGACAACCACCGTGTTATCACTGCTCTGCTGCCAAGCCATCAGAGCAGAGTCTGCATACTCTGAAAATGCTTTGAACTAGAGGCAAATTCCAGTATTTTGGCACCATTTTTTGTCTGGAGTACAAAAGTTTGTTTATCTTGAAGAAATTCAGGAAATTGAATATTTGCTTGTGTTTGTCAACTCCAAAGATTATAGAAGAAACCTAATAGGAAACCATTTGTCAAAACTATCACTGAAAAAGGTTTATAATTAAAGTAATCCCCCCAAAATTCTGCTCTCAACCTAGCTCACTTTCATAGGAGGCACTTTGCTAGTACATTTTGAAAGTTCTGTACTTCTATTTCTGGCCCTCTCGCTTAAACATTTAAAAAAGTGAATGTTTTAAGCTGCTAACAGTTATATCTCCCTTTATCATACTTAGATTGGGATTTCTTGAAGGCTAGGATTATCTTTTGATCCTGCATTTTAGCTCATTTATCTCAGTGAGACCATGTGCTGAGGTTAGGGACCAAAGTACTAAGGAAAAAAGAACAAACAATAAGGAATCAAGCCAATGAGTGAAATTATCCATAAACAGGGAGCAAGAAGAAAACCACTGTTTGAAAATAAAGCAGGTTGCTACATTATGAATCATGTAGAAGGAATGTTAAAAATTTGCTAGATAGAAACGAAAAGAAGTTTTACTGTCTCCTGCTTGTAAGTAACACAAAGTCTAGTAAGTACTCTCACCTTCTGCATCCAACATCTTAGGGATATCCAAATGCTTTTCAGCAATTTCCATGGCAAGGTTGATATTTCCTATGGGGTCATCCTGCATTACAGAAGAAAACACAACTAGTCAAATAGAGAATACATGATTTTTTGGTCTATCTACTGCTCTACTTTCAAAATAACATAGTAATAACCTATTATGTACCACTAGGACTTTGCTGCAAATATATATATAAATTCTGGAGGGGAACACAGATAACGTACATGGTGTACACATAAATCTGAGCTAATACTAAATCAAGCACAGCAGTAATACATACAGTCAAGGCCACTGGTCCAGTAGGCTATACTAGACCATACATCACAAAGTGAGTTCTGCATGTTTTTACGTCTACTATTTGTTATATTACAGTCACATGAATTCTACTGAGTTCTCTGTTGGTCAGGTGCATGCATGAGAAGTAAGCATAGACAGAAGAACAGTTGTCCAGAAGGAGCAAAATTTCCCAGTTTTGGCTTGACAGGCAAATCTGTAACGTCTCCATAAATTGGATTTAAGAGCTGTGGGAATTCAAGAACTTAACTTCCTCTGGTTTTGAGATTTTTATTTTAGTTTTGAAGGAAAAAGGAAGGAAGCAGTGAGACCAGTTCAGATAAACAGTACACATTTCACATTTTAGACTACAACTATTGATGACAATGGAAAAGCTTGCCAGATTAGGGATGCTCTTAAGGCAGTTTTCCCGTATCAGCTTGGAGAGAAAAACACCCTGTGTGAAGTGGCAGTTTGTCCCATTAATGCTATTATTATTTTCACATATTCACAAACTACTAGATGATCATAGCCACTCTGAACAATGCTATTGTCTACAGAGAGAGGCTGGGAAAACAGGACACAGGAGACCAAAGTCAGAGATGCTGGAGGGCACTGAAAAAAATGTTAACAGGTTTTCTGTAGTGAATTTTTAGGGCTTCATTTGAATACAAACACTTCCTATTAGAGGTATCTAGTCTCAAGCATGCTTCTTTTACTTTGAAATGAACTCAGTAAGGTTACTTACTATGGAATCATCAGCAAATATTTACGTTTCAGAGAAGTCTGTTCCTCATGCACATACGTATGCCAGGTATCATAAATAGTAATGCCCATGACATGTCTTTCTATAATCATACCATACAAGATAAGACTTTCCTTTAAAAGCTTCATGTTCGATAAAATGTGTTGTGAGGAACAGTTTACATTTTAAAACCTAATAATTTGAGTATAGTAGAATATAAAGTCTCTAATCATTAGTTCTCACTAATCATTTATCAGTCCTATCATCATTTATCAGTTTTGTGCCTCACTAAGAGAAACATTAAATGTAGACAGTATTTAAAATCCATTAACTTTTTTTTTCTATTACATAAGATGGTGTAATACATCATTTACAAAATGTGTATACAAAAACTCTTACTGAAATGAAATGGGACAAAAAAACACTAAACCTAAGTGAGACCTATTGACTACGTTAAAACACTTTTCTTATGGATGAGTGATGAGCAGCTCCAATTTGTGTGCTTGGTACTAACTCCATGAGTAAGCAGAGCTCCACTGGTAAAGGATTTGTTTAAAATCACAGTAACTTCTGAATAACTGGAGAACTCCATCACCCATGCTTTTAAACAAAATTACAAGCCACAATAACTAAAAATCTCTGCTACAGCTTAAGATATACCTCATCTAATTTTTCATAGTCAAGAAGATCAGGCCTGTGTCTATGGATAAGGGCGCTCAAAGCAAGGCCATTTTTCCAGCTATGAGTTCACACAAAACACGTTGGAGAGAAAAGGAAAGGACAGCATGCAGGAGGCAAGAAACCAAGAAACAAGACACCAAGACAGCTGTTAATGTAACCAAAATGAGCAGTCAATCAAACACAGCCAGGTCAGAAAAGCAAGGTCTATTTTAGGATTTTTCTGCATGTGCTTTACGTGCCACAGCTCAGCCTCAGTTTGAAATCTGACCTGTTCTTATTTTGGAAACCTCTAAGAGGGAAATAGCAATGCTGAAGTAGATCTGCTTATGTTCTATTCCCTTTTCTTTGCACTCATATACAGTTATAATGTGAAAATTCTTTAGTACTGTGCACTACTTTTCAAAGCACAAACTTGATGAAACTAACTTCTGTTTGTGCCATGCTTAAGCACATGTACCCAGAGACACGTAGCTTAGTCGTTCCATGAATCTGTATATCTGTAGGAAAGGCTGCATATAGAATTAAGAGAACAAGCTGGTGTGGATGACTAGTATTTTGCCCTTTGGTTCAGATATGCAGTTTTCTTAACTGCCTAAATTAAAATCTTACGGCCTTAGGAATAAGTTCATTTAATTTTCACCACTGCACACATGGGGACCCCATCATAAATTTAATACGTATATAAAGCAGAAAAAGTTTTTAAGTAATGTCACTTATCTTTTCCCTCATCAAAGGCTTTCTGATAACAGTTGATTCCATAAGTAAAACAAATTTGTAATGGAAGGGCATGGAATGGAAAATATAATCTGTGATTTACCAGTCTCTCTCACCAATGAAAAACTGCACTCAACAAATTATAAACCATGATTTTCTGGTTTACTGGTGTTTACATGAAACATCAAGATGCATTCATTCCAGAGAGCAGAAAGTAGTAGGTATATATTGAGAGCTAATGTGAAATGACAACATTCTATTTTCTTTCTACGTTTCATTCTTCAGTGATGATACCCAGAAATTCTGACATTACTACTTGCTCCTCATGCTTCCCTCTCAAACCAAAGTGGTATCTTTTAGAAAACATGATTTTGTCATCAGCAACTCATTGTAATAAAATAGGTTTGTAATCCCCATGAGGTACTACCTAAGGAAGTTAGGATATCAATTTTGCTTTTACTTGTCTGGAAGTATAGATAGAAGTATAATCTAAGAATTCGTGAATATTTTCTAGGTAAGACTAGTAACTTATTGTGTACTCCTGATTAGGAAGGGTAGCATCTGTTCTAAGGAATTTTAGGATTAATCATCTCATTGTTTTCTGCTCTGCAATCTACAGTCATTTACACCAGACACAAAACATGATGGACTGTACAACGCTATGAGTGGGGAATAGAGGATTCCAGTGTATTTGAGTTAACATCTGTTTCGGGCAGTGTAAAAGACTTCATCAACCGCCTGAGCACTGAGGAGCAGATTATTGGCAATTAAATGCTAAAGTCATTGTAATGGGAAGGAAAGAAGGACACAGGACAGTCATGAGGTCCTTTCCTCTATCTCATTGGGTTTTTTTGGATGGAGGGTAGAAAGCCAGTCAGAGTTAGTATGCACTCCTCAGCTTGTGTTTTAGAAAAATGCCAAGCAAACCAGAAGTGAGCCAAATCACTGCAGGACAGCATGCTGTACCACCCAGACTGATGACCTTATTTAGCTTGGAGTAGTCAATAAGATCAGGTCGGTGTCTGTGGATAAGTGCACATAATCCAAGGCCATCTTTCCAGCTTTACAACAAAAAATAGAATGGAAAAAAAATTAGTTAATAAAGTCATGGAATTTTACAGTTTGATCCTTGTTCAAGCCTTAAAATCAAGTAGGAAGCTTGTTAAATCATGACACTTATTTTCTCTCAACTCTCATCCCTCTGAGCTTTTCTGTTACTGTATGTCTTTCGGTTTAGTACACATATTACTCCACAGTCCATGCACACTTAAAGACTCCATAATACTTGCTAGGCACTGTGCATTATATGCAACAGTCCATAATTTCCACTGCTTAATTTGTGCAGTCTTCCAGCACAGCTCAGAGTACACATTCATCAATCAAATTGCATAATCTCCTATTAAATTTACATCACATTTGTGAAAAAATAAAAGCAGAGCAAAGCTGCAATTACTTGAATTTGCTAAAGCAATTGCCTTTTTATGTGTCAGTCATTTGGGGCTATTTTAATGGCACAGCCATGTTGTGCTCTTAGAAGCAAGAAGTCATAAATCAGCTTTGCTTATTTAAAACACTTCACATATATGAAAGCTTTGATCTGAGCTCTCACACTCCAGTGTGACTTCAGGCCCCACTGCCTCTCGAGGCAAGAAGCAGCAATGGACAGAGCTACAAATATCTATTTGGAAAGATTATGAGAGGTTTTCAGCCAGAAGCAATTATTCTGAAAGATATTTTATGTAAACACTTTATGCAATCACTGGTACTACAGGTTTGAGGTCTTATCCTGTGCAGTAACAGTGATAAAATCCCTGTCCTTGAGATGTCTGGGTAGACCCTTCAAGAAACAGAACAATGTCCAATAAAAATGTAACACAATTAAGCAAAATATACACACATGGTATAATACAAAATCATCCAGAAGGTACAACTGAATCAAAATGAGCACCAAACTAACAAAAACCTTTCCTCCAAAGGGTATCGACTAAAAAGGTCTTGAAAGTATAGTGTAAAGTAGTTCTGTAAAAGCCAGGTCAACCCAAACATTCATCAAGGTACTTCCATTCAAGATATTTTCCCCATACCATGTATCAGACCAGCATATTTTGTGTACACGCTAAGATTTGATACTGTATACTCTGCATCCATATAAAGCTCTACTGAAATATTCAAGGAAAATAATACACAACAAATTTCAGATCTCTTAAAGGCAATACAGGGGCCATAAATCAAATTCTTTTTATCTGTGGATGAACGTGTGAAACTTATCTTCTCTATCACTACATGTGCTTTAGGTGCTGCACATTAAGAATGAATTCAAAACACCAAAACACTGTAGTGCAGAGCTCTTGTGAGTACTAGAAGGGTTTCGAGGAAAGCAAGGTCATAGGGCTGAACAGTGCAGATGGCAAGTCATGTAGTGTGATGGGGTGGGTCACTGGCAGAGCTACACGAACTAGCCCAGTGAAATCCCCAAACCAGGCAGTCTGCATACAGCCTGGAACTCCCTTTCTAGCCCTTAATGAAAACACAGAATCACAGGGCTGGAGTTTCACAAAATTTTCCAATTTAAGTAATGAACCTGATTCTGAAGACAAACTTGTTTAAAGTGCTGCTGTTGTGTACTGAGGGCACTTTTTGGCCCCTTATTTACAGTTACATTACAAAATAATACAGACTGATTCATCATAGTGAGATATTTGGATGCTCAACACATTGATATTTTTTCCAAGAACAGTCTATATGTAGAGTGGCTCTCTTCTGAACGCAGTCATTTGCAAAGTCACTATGCTACAGCACTCAGATATTCCCATATACCAAGGACCTCTAATAATGTAATATGGTCATTATGTACATAATAGGGATTTTTTTCTTGTAAATACTAACTATGAAAGCCATGAGAAATATTGACAAAGGCTAACCAAAGTAAGACTCTGAAGACAGAGGATGAGAATTTGAAATATGTCTGGTTAACAATGCAGAGTGAAATTTTCCTGTCCAATATATACCTACACAAAGGTGGGAAAAATTTGACCTGAAATATTTTAGACTCCTTCTTCCCCTTGAAATAATGGAAGTTTACCTAAGATGGAAGTTCTGAATGTTCACATTTCTGTAAGGAGCAGTTTTTCTTTGACACCACAGCAGCAGCCCTTCTTTGGCAGAGGTCTCTGTAAAAGACACCAGGGAGTAAAAAGAGAAAAAAAGTAAAAAAGTGTTCAAGTAATTATTTTTTTTGTCATCTTAAAGGAGGTCAGCCACCTGAAACTGGTTGGCATAAGCCAGCATTTAATCCTAAAAGATGCTCATACAAATGGACTATTTAGGCTAGGCTCCATTAAGACACAGAGGTCAGTTCAACTGGAACAAATCAGACTAGAGTCTCAGCCTGCACAATAATTCTGGGATATTAGAAGTTTAAGAAATTTTATTGGTTTGACAGTAGAATGTATATTTTGAGAAAAATATCCAGTATAAATGTAATAGGATTGGACATAAAAGATTGTGTTGGTGCCATATACATGAAACATGCTTGTAGTCTCAGTCCATTTGCTTATGGAGAGGTTTAAGTGCTGAAGAAATACCTTCATTATCTGAACCCCATGAGCATGTGAATCCGTAAGTAAAGGACAGAAAAGATCAAATAGAGCATTAAGTCCATATTTAGTGTCCTCCAAATTATGGGCAGGACAGTACACAGAGCTTGTAGTAGTTCATAGACTTTAGTTTAGTTGAAAATTGAGATTAATTTCTAGAATTCTAGATTTCTTACAGCATAGACTTGATTTAAAGACTATTGTAACTACAAAAGAGTTTTTGGAGCTAGTTGCCAAATTCTGCAAAATTCTGAAACGGGGAAGGGGTGGAAAGTGATAGAAAGAAGAGGGATATAATCAGATAATATTTGCAAAGAATGGGACAAACAGACAGGACTAAAAGACTATGTTGGAAATAGGACCACCATACAGGATACAGCATAGTTTCAGGCCACTGAAACTCAGAAACACAGGCACGTTTCTACCTCTGTAACTGAGAGACATGCCCTGAACTTCTGCATTTAGAATGCCGGCCCAAGGTTTCTGTTAGGATAAGGAGAGTAATTACTTTTTCCCTCCAGAAATTGATTTTATCACCAGAAAGGGAATTTACAGTATCATTTTCTGTGAAAAAAAATAATACATTTTTAAAACACTCATCTCACTTGGGCACAATTCATGTAAAAATACCTTTAAATAAATTTCCAAATTATTTAACACAGTTGCATTGCTCTTACCTTCCACTGAAATATCCTGAATGGCAAAGCGAAGGATGATAGTCCAGATCATACCCAGCGTCATTTTCACATTGCCATCAACAATTTCTAAGGTGAAAAAAGATACAGTAGTAGTATTTAGAATGTGGTTTCTGTTTTCTCTTATTTCAGTCATGTATTTCTAGATATATTGTATCCAATAAAATCATTGTATTCCTAACATAATTCTTTGCCTACACAGAGTTTGTCTGGGTTCACTTTTCAACAAACTCATGCTTCTGCTACCCTGGCAGCAGGACTGAAGATCACTGAGGTTAAGGTCACTTCAGCCTTTCCGTACTAAATGTAGTTTTAACCGTCTCAAATCTTCACCTTTTAGGCTGATTTTTTTTAGAGACAGCCTGAGAGGAAATAAATATTTCAATATCAAACAATACAAACTTTCATCAAACTTACTGTTTTCAAATGCAAAGGAACTGAAAAAAAATACAGGTTTACCCAAAATTTTAAGAAACTGCGGGCCACTAACGGCATTGCATTTTAGTAAAATGATACTCAGAAATTCCCCTATACTATTTAGACTTTTTTGAGAATTTTACCTATAGTGCCAGCACCAGACTAGCTATGAAGAACAGCTCAAGAGACACAGCAGCTCCTGAGACTAATCCAGATAGCTTCCTGCCAGGCAGCTTAGAAACATGGCCACGAGGTTGTCATTCTTACAGTTCTGATGCCTACCCACATTTGTGTCCCTTTAATATAAAATGGGTGTTTTTAACCTCTGGGTTTTCAATTTGTTCCAAGACTTCTTGAGTCTACCTACAACACAAGGCACCAGGAAGGTGCTTTCTCCAACCTTTCTCACACATACATGGGAGTCCCTTCCCCAAGCCAAATCAGAATCCAGCACTCCAACATTGTAATATGAACAGTGATGCCACTTAAATTTCTCAATATCAAAAAATGTACTGCTAGATTACTGAAGTGTGGCGATATTGTTAAATCAATCTGAAAAATATGGCGAGAGACTCAGAAGAACATAGTGATACTATAAGGAGGGTCCAGCACTGGAAGGGGAGGAGGTGGGACAGTGAAAGAGGGGAACTGCCAACTGCCCTTCCAGTCACCTCACACCAAAAGAGCAGTGGAGTGGGGAAGGCACCAGCTGCTCCCCTACTTGAAAGCCACCTCTAGCCTTCCTCAAAAAGTGGAGCAGCTGTGGCTGCCTGGGGGCCCACTGGTGTTCTGGGAAAGGAGCAGAAGGAACTTGCAGCAGGAGGAATTTTCTGAATTTAATGTCAAATGCCAAGAGAAGTGCCAGCAGAAAATGCAGTCACTCTCCTGCTTAAAAGGCGCCTGAATCCATGGGCAACTTCTCCAGAACAAAGCAGCTGCCAGCTCTGAGTCTTGAGATACATGTTAAATTGCAGTAGCGTGTGAACCTATGGAATTAACAAATGTGGTAGGAGATACGTCACCCACCACTAGTCTGTACTTACTCTGCTAGCATGAGAATCCAAGTTTATATATGAATGGCTACTTTTCTGCTTTCCCTTTTGGGTTCTACACTGGTTTTCCAGAATTCTTATCTCACTTTCCCTACTTTCCATGCATTTTTACTATCTTATTGTCCCTGAAATACCTCAAGTACCTTCAAATCTCAGAACTTGACTCAGTCAAAAAAGTCCAAAGGGCAATTAGGGCATGAAGCAACTTCTCTTTCCTCCTTCCTTCTCCCTGATATATATATATATAAGGAAGAATTTCTTCAAATGTAAAATAAATTAATTTAAATACTCAGGAGGCACTGCTGATTGTCAGGCAATCAATTAATGGAACTGCATAATCACTACATCGTTGGTTTGATTTACATATCCATATGTAAACACAGAACGACTGAAGGAGCAAGAGAGAGAATTTTCTGTGTTGTGCCTCAGGAGATTTTTCAAGCGATTTGCCAGCTTTGGTTTCTCATTATCTATTGCTAGAATAAAACACAAATAAGGCAATTATAAAAGACAAGTGGAAATATCTAAAGAGAAGGAAAAGAAAGTTGCTAAATGTTGAAAAGTATCAGTGATAAAAAAATGCTGATTCATTCCTATTGTCGGTAGAAATCGTCATTATTTTCTTCACACCGCCCATTTGCTCTAGGAGGACTATAGTTCCTACGCATCATATACACAAAGCTGCAGCTTTCTGAAGAAAAAGGTCTTGCTGACCTAAGAGGAAAGGAGGGAAGGGGAAGCAATAAAAACTGCCTAGAGAAAAACCTAAGCAAAGCAGTGTGGCAAGTTCTCAAAGGTTTTAGTTTCAGGGGTTTTTTTTCTGCTTGAGTTTTATTTATTTATTTTTATTCTAACGTTCCTGTAGCAGATTCACACACCATTTGGTCTTTAATATTCCACCTGCTCCCCAGAGAATCAATACAGAAGTATTTCCTATTAACAAGATACTTATCTTTTGTGGTTCTCTGTTTCTCAGCTCCTTTCATTCAGGATGCAATTACCTTGCAAATGGAGTTACTGCACTTTTTTAAAACTTAAGGGAAAACTTTTAACTCCTGGACTGTGAATGGCTCATAAAGACTACTTTCTGCAGCTCTTGCTTTAGCTTCTGGACTCTCTAGTCCCATTTCATCATCAATGGAGTGAAAGACTCTTCCACCAGATAGATCAGTGTTCTGATCAGCATCACAGTTAAAGGTGATCACCTCTCTCTTTCAGTCCACAGACAGCCTAATGAAGTCAGCCTCAGAACAATAATGATGCCTTTAAAGAATATCCCTGGCCCCTTTAAAAATAGTAAATTGAACTTTGTACTGATGTCCCACGGGAATCACAGTTTAATCTTTGTTTTAAGGGCCCATTTTAAATGCCAGTCGGTCCCCTTGTGCCTACATGCTCTTCACCACTCAGCATGTCAGATAATAAAACATGATCCTCAGCAGATTTAGGTAACAAACTTTCATGCTTTGGAAATTATAAAGTATTCCAAGCATCCATGTAACCCAGAGAATGCCAAAACAGATGGGTGCAGACAAGTCCCTGTGCCTCATGCTCACACATAAGGGCAGTGAGTTAAGGGGTTAAGGACTTCGATAACAATACAAGCCTAAGGAGTCTCTGCTCTGCCTCCTTTCTGGCATTCATTCCATCTTCATACTACAAGGACTGTCCAATCAACAATGCTGAAATATGTAATAAAAGAAGAAAAAGGAGGTGAAGTGTGTTTTAAAACCAAATCTGCTGATCCAACCTGCAGCATACCTAAAGAAACAGTTGTCAGCCCAAGTGACAGGGTAGGGCTGTGAAGTGTGGGAGCAAGTATGCAGGACAAGGGGGCACAGGGACTCTTTAAATGCACACTGGTGCCAGAGATCCCACACTGTGAAACTATACCCAGTCAGATGTGATACTGCATTGCTGCATCAGCACGGCTCTGTGCCTCAGATAACAAAATTAGCAGAGGGGATGTGGTAAACTTAACAGGGCAGTAAGCACGTCTGGGCCAGAGCTGGCTTTCTGTTCAGCCTGTTTAGAGTAGGAGTGGAAGGCACGTGAATCTATCTGCTCCTGCCCACATGGGTGTAATCTAATGTGTTTAGCCATACTTGACATAGTGCAATGTCTGACAATGACAGGTTCCTCCCTGCATCTGAGCTGTGACAGTAGCAGTGCGTTTTTCTCCTGTGTTTCCATCCAAGAATTTAAAATGTTTTTTTAATAATTCTAATTAATGCAGTTTTGCTTCTAATCCCTCAATTTTACAGATCAAGTACTTCTGAAGCAGTTAATAAAACCCTGCAGCACAGCCAGGAGCATCAGCTGGATTACCATCTATGGCCTGCTGTTACATGCAGTAAGGAATACTGTGTGCATGGACAGACATCACCCTGCAGCAACTGGCTGAGAAGCTGGAAGAGCATCTAAACTCACGCCAGTTGCTGCCCAGGAGAACGGCAGGGTTAGTTTAAATGGTTTTAATGGCTGATCTGAGCTGTCCCAGATGCTTTGCCTTCGGGTGATACAGGAAGTGCTCAAGCACTTCTCCCTAGTCGAGCACCCTGGCAGTAATGAGCAGCAACAAGCAGGGCAAAATGAGGGAGATGGGACTGCAGAGGGCTCCTTTCAGGAGCAGCTATGAGCTGATGTGTCTCTGTTTAAAATGCTCCATCCTTGCTTGAAGAGCCTAGGTGTGAAAACATCAGTGCTTTGTGCAAACTGGGGTCAGAGAGAACAACCACTCTGTCCCACAAGATGCTCCTTCTGCTACACTCTTGGCTTCAGTCAGGAAGCCTCATAGTCCCGGCATGACATGACATGACAGAAACCACCAGTTCATTTGCTCCACACTTTGTACTCAGTATCTCTGCACCAGCTATCAAACAGGCTTCTGTAGCCTTAGTTCTCATTTCCACACATAAATTGTCTCTTCAGTACCCTCTGCTGTCCATTCAATGCCATGTCCCTCTCAGAATAACTTTAACTGCAGAGGTTTAGGGAAGTGGCATATTTTGCCATCCCACTTCATTTAACTGAGCAAAGGGCCCAGCTGCCCGGCTGCCTGTAACACTGATGGACAGAGCCAGGCAGCTCTGAAATGCAGCAGAGCTCTTCTGAGATGTTCAGTGCCTTTGGAAATTGCCTGTTTCTTCCCACTGATAATACATTGCCAAAAAAGTCTCTGTTACATGCCTGAAGATAGAGGGTTTGGATTTGGACTCAGTTCAGTCTCAAACAAACAAAGGGTAAGTTCAAACAAATGCTCTGCCCAGAGAACACCCATTTCTTGGGATTTTGGCATTCTAGATCTAGAAACTGAAAACATTTGGTGAACGACATTGAGGAACTAAACAGGCTAGGTCATACCACTGTGGAATCAAAGAATGGTGATAGAACTCTCCACTATTTCTACAGATGCCCCTGTCCCACCTAATGAATCTTCCTGCTCCAGTCACAATTACAATAAGCTCCTTGAGATGGATGTTTGGAAGCCAGAATAAGGACATATATATGCCTGGAGAAATCAGAAAAAAAGGAAGAGAAGACTCATAAATCAATCTAAACAGGCTTAGCAATGTGAACAGAATATAGCTAGTGCTCCTCATCATGATGCTGAGGTTACAGCCAGAGTTTCACTTTAAGGACCTATTAGAGGCTGTCCCCAGAAAGGCCAGCACATCATTGAGGCTATGGAATCAAAAGTAGTTGGATATCATGCTAGCCACATCACTCTTTTTATGATAATGGCTACACAAAACATTATGGAAGTATCTCCATGGAGCAGCAAGTTCTAGGCAGACCTTTGTCCTTTCTAAACAACTAATTGAATCTCATAGGAGGCATAGGTTCACTTGCAATGAAAGCCTGCCTTCTTTTGCTCAGAGTTTACATCTATCAGCATTTAGCTTGTCAGCTGCACATTTTTATTTAACTACCTGAACAACAGAACAATAACAATGTAATACTTTCAGTAAATAACATCCTGCCCCACTTTCTTCACATGTTCAGTCTCTCTCCATCCAAGACAATTTATTTTGATCACTCCCTTAACTCTACATCTGAATTTTAGAAGGACAACTGCTGTCCACAGTCAGTCTCTAACAAAATTAAAGTAGACCCCAGCCATCTGGTAGTGATTTCAGCCTTTATCTAGTCCGAATAATATCTCCTAAAAACAGAAAAAAATCCCTGATTGGACAAAGCACACCCTAGAAACCAAGCTGATTTCTACATGAGTTCCTTATTTTTAATAATGCGTACGAAAACTGTAATGCTCTAAAAGAAGAAGTCATTATCTGAATACTCATAGAAACACAGACAATTCAATTTAACCTTGGAGATAAACTAATCTTAGAAGATTATTTTATACCATTTATACCCCCTTCCCTCTCCAGGTGTACACATATGTTCAGCTCTCATGGTTTGACAGGTACAGGTCAGCGATCAATATTAAGGGATTTCTGAGGCACCCATGGAGAACAGCCTGCACAATTTGGCCAAGCATCTCTGTCAGACTTCTTTGCAACGTGAATGCCTAGGATCTAAGTGCAGTGCATTGTTAAGCTCTGGCACATACCTTCTGCACCAATTGACACAAGTTTCACTCCTTTGCTGGCAATATAATCCAGAGCTTTGTTGACATTAGCGATTTTATGGAAGCGCATCTTCCCTCTGTCTGGCTTCGGAAGCCTTTCCCCTGCAGAACAACAAATTCAGTGTGTTGATTGTTACACACACATGGCTATAGACACACAACTGACAAGGACTTAAGAGTGAACATGCCCTGAACGCTAAGAGCTAGCCGCTATTTTAACAGGTGTTTTTCTGAATGAATGTCAAATGGATTTGGACAAAACCCTCAAGAGAAAATTCAAATGTTGAAACATCTGACTTAGATCTTGCTGATCTAGCAGTAAAATCAGTGTAAAAATTTTACGTTTGCCCTAAACACCTGGAAGATATGTGAATGCTGCTACTCAACTTCTGGTTCATTGCTACTGTCTGTGCCGGAGGAGGTGAGTATTAAAGAAGGCAGGATGTTCTCAGAGCTCCCCACCCTTACCTGCATGATGTTAAAGAGAAGCTGGACTCTATCCAGAACATCAGACATAATATCCTTCCACATCTGACCAAGAACAATTGCTTTTAACCTCATCCAGTATAGCAGCGCAGCTCACCTCAGAGCATAGGCTGTTGTGTTTCAATTAACTTAATTTTTCAAATTATCACAGAGAAGAATAATTTCTGAAATTATGGCTCTCCATTTCATGAAGAGTGATCATTTTAAGATAATCTGTCCCCACTGAAATCTCCAGCAAAGATGTAAACTGTCTTTTTGACTAAGATGTGTTTAAAATCTTTTTGTTGTTACAAGTTACACCTCAAGTCTGTAACCTGAGCTACTCCCTTCCTATTCAGGGAAAATGTGCCTTGGGGACTACCCCTCTGAATAACATCTAAAATGGAGGATATAGTGGATTTACATCAGTTAGTCAAAAGGAGTTCTTGGATGTTCCATCCTTCTTAGGAATGAGACCTTTAACTTGTGATTAAATACTGATCTGGTTTTACTTTAGGCACTCACTTTTAAAAGCATTGGTCCATCCAATAAGGTCCATAAAAGCAAAGCAAAACTTTTATACTAAAAGTGTAATAGATGAACTTGTAACCTAAGTGTAAAGACTTTTTCTTCACTAGGGGCTAAGACCAGATCCTCAATGTTTGTAGGTTGTCCCACAACACCGTAATATCAGTGATACCCTGACACTGTGTGATATCTTGGAACACAAGCACAAAATAGATTTCGGAGATAAGGAGAAAGCAGAGCTTTTTTCCCCCCCTTTTATTTTATAATGTGTTCATCTCTCACTTTACAGCCTACTTAGAGTTGGTGTTCACTGTTCTGAATTGTTAATTTTTGTTCTTTTAAGAGTGTTTCAGATAGCATGCTGTAAACACATAGCAGACTTTAGTTTAGCCAACCTGAGATAACTTCCAAGAGGAGCATCAGTTTGAGGCCATTTCTGAAGTCCTCCTCAATGTTCTCAATCTGTGTGCCAGCTTTCCTGAGGTGGGAATTGCACCAGGCTGTAAACGTCTGTAATAGCAATTAAAAAAATACTTATCAACAAGGCATTTTCCAAAACAACTGCTAACCCACCTTAGTAAACACTGAATCTGAGATTTTTTTCACTGCTGCCTTAAAAATGTCCACTCCCATTAATTTTATGTGTGTTGCTGACTTCAAAATTCTTAACCCAGATGTTCATGAAGATGCAAAGAATTGCTTGATTAGAGGCAATATTGTGCTAGATTCTGCTCATAAATGCATCCCCCCCAAAAAAAGATCTACACAAAAAGGCAAAATTTGTCTAATAGTTATTATTACACTTAGCATTTTATGAGCACATAATTTTATATTAGAACTTATCTGTTAACACATTCTTCCTGAAAAGAAAGATTGGTATGCTATAAAGGAAGCAGTGTGACAGTAAAATGTAGGCAATACCAAGCACAGAAGCAAAAACTTTTATTACTTGAATTCATGCCAGGATAAACAGTTCTTATACAGATTATCTATGCCAGGGACAAGTAACAGACATTTCTCACAGGCAGGAAGTTGTGAGAACACTCTTCAGGATGAAGTAACAGCAAGGATACCAGCAAAATTGCATCTGCTCCTACTTGTAACTACAGTGAGAAACAGAATGTCTTTTGAAAACATGGACAATTAGAATGCATTTTGGAAGTTTACAATAATTTAAGTGCAGAAGTATCCCATTCAGACCTTGAAGATACAGCTTGCCTTACCGAGAGGTTTAAACAGTATTATATCATTTTCATAAAACTACCACAACTTCATGAAACACACAAATAGAGATACAAAAGTTAGCAGGGCAAAAATGGTCACAAAAGGAGCCATGAGCATTTCTCTCTCCATGGAGAACAGCCAGGTCTGCTTTTACTTGCAAAGAAGGCTCAACTAACACCAATGATCTACAGAGGTCATATACACATTACCTTTTGTCTGCATGAAATCTAAACATGGGCTGCTATAAAATTTAGTAGTTAAAATTAGTCTGTTTTCAAATATCTATTACTTCTCAGCCTTCTGACAAGTTCTCCTTGCTTTTCACCATCTGTTAAGATATCCAAAGCAAATTTCTATTTACTAGGTATTTCACCAGGTATTTAACTCTAGGAATATAACAAGGCCATTCATTTTGGTAAGTTAAACTTCAGCTACTTAAAACTGTCAAATATTTGGAATTCCTCTTCTTTTGCTATTTCAAGTTACCACAGTTTTAAAAATATTTAATGGAAATGGTTTAAAAAATAAAATCTATCCTAAATCCCCACTGTCAATATAAAATTTCCTTTGGCCTTCCTTTCTCTTGCCTGATTTTTTAGACTCAGAAACAGAGTAAGAAAGGCCAGGAGGTGACAGCAAAAACTTTCTCTGGAACTGAATCTTGCAAATTCTAGACAGATTTCATACCTTACGAAAATAGCGATTGAATTTTCAAAAATACTCCATGCTTAAAAATGTAACTTTATGTTAAAGAATTGTTGTTGTGTTTGACTCAATTTATTCGAAGAGTTTATGTGCAGCTTGCTGGGATTTTTTCTCAGAGCTCCTGGAGTGACAGGAAGCAGCTTGTTAACTTCTAGTTTTATTAATTTCTAGGCAATTGAAAGGAAGAAGCAGGAAGTGCTATGGGATATGGGGGAGCTGTGTGGTGAAATCCCTAATTCTAGATACCCAGAGAAAGGAGGAGAGAAAAGGTGGTATTGGATGTGTTTTGGGGCAGGGCTCCTGTTGACATGCAGAAGAGTTGCAGGTAGAGGCATAAGAAGTCATCCTGTGTGCAGATGGAGGCAAGCATAGCTGCAGCTGAAGCATGTCTGCAAACACGTCTATTTTAATAAAGGGATGTTAGCTCAAAAAGCATTCATTCAAGAAGGTAAATCTTTCCTCATTTTAAGGTAACTAGCTTTACTGAGCTCATGGGAGACCTGAAATCAGAGTGTGTGAAGCATCACAGCAGAGATGCTAGGCACCTCTACCCTCAGGGCTCAACATGATGGAATCTTTGGATGGTATTTGGTTTGGATCACTATAGGGTTAGGATCTAGTTTATAAGACTAATTTGTCTGCCTTAAGCAGTATCTTGTTCTAGTGACATGCATCTAAAAAGGCTTAGCACCACATTAAGGCATTTGCAAATACTAAAATTTATAACAAGCATCCTTGGAAGTGCTGAAAGCACTCAAGGCTAAATGCACATGAACCTTGCAGCATAATTTGGCAATAAATACTAGGAAGCTGAACCAGTAAATGAATGAGCCTTTCATGAATTAAGATTAAGTGATGGACTGTGCTTATCTGCAGATGCTATTGCAGTTTGCAGAATTGTTCCAAGTAGGCCATGCTAAATTCAGAAATTTGGAAAAAAAAAAACATAGGCATTTCCACCTCTTCTTTTAGACATTTGTGGTGAGTGTTCTGATCTTGTACCATTCAAGCAAATGAGTTTTCCCCATTTTTCATTTAATTAAGAGTTTAATGACAATAACCCTACCAGTCAGGCAGTCTTAAAATACAAATCTGATTCCTATTGTGAAGAAAGCTACTTCTCACCAAGTTCCTTGAGAAGAAATGGATTCTGGCACTTCTTACATCATATATGCATATATATATA